CCTCTCTCCTCTCTCCTCTCCTCTCTCCCCCTCTCCTCTCTCCTCTCTCCTCTCTCTCCTCTCCTCCTCTCTCCTCTCTCTCTCTCTTCCTCTCTCCCTCTCTCCTCTCTCCTCTCTCCTCTCTCCTCCTCTCTCTCCTCTCCTCTCTCCTCTCCTCTCTCCTCCTTCCTCTCTCCTCTCTCCTCTCTCCTCTCCTCTCTCCTCCTCCTCTTCTCCTCTCTCTCCTCTCCTCTCTCCTCTCTCCTCCCTCTCCTCTCTCCTCTCTCTCTCCTCTCTCTCTCCTCTCTCCTCTCCTCCTTCTCTCTCTCCTCTCTCCTTCTCTCTCCTCCTCTCTCCTCTCCTCCTCTCTCCTCTCTCCCTCTCTCTCTCCTCTCTCCTCTCCTCCTCCTCTCTCTCTCCTCCTCTCCTCTCTCTCCTCTCTCTCCTCTCTCCTCTCTCCTCTCTCCTCTCTCCTCTCTCCTCTCCTCTCTCCTCTCTCCTCTCTCTCCTCTCTCCTCTCTCCTCTCTCCTCTCTCTCTCCTCTCTCCTCTCTCCCTCTCCTCTCTCCTCTCTCCTCTCTCCTCTCTCCTCTCTCCCTCTCTCCTCTCTCCTCTCTCCTCTCTCCCACCACCTCACTCTCTTAACTGAATCTCGCCCAATTTGTTTTGCATATGTTGAAAGGTGTGCGCTACTTTGGGTACCACCGGGTCCTGCGCCTTCGACCGCCTGGAGGAGATAGGTCGCGTGTCGCGCTCTGAGCTGCTGTGGTGCCACGTGGACGCCGCCTACGCGGGCTCGGCGTTCGTCTGTCCGGAGCACAGGAAGTGGCTGAAGGGCATCGAGCTGGCCGATTCGATCGCCTTCAATCCGTCGAAATGGCTGATGGTGCATTTCGATTGCACCGCCATGTGGTGGGTATATTTCGCTCGAATCGATGATGGTGATGATGATGATGATGAGGGTTGCAGGGTGAAGAACAGCGGGGCTTTGCACGGGGCGTTCAACGTGAATCCGCTGTATTTGACGCATGAATATTCTGGTAATTATGTTTTGGTGTTGGTGTTGGTATTCGATTGAACTGGTATGTGTGTGTGTGTGGTTTGTTTTGCAGGTCTAGCGATAGATTTTATGGTGAGAAAGTGTGTGGTACTTGTTAGATTTCGAGGAAATGTATTTTGCGTTTTGCAGCACTGGCAGATACCGCTGAGCAAACGGTTCAGGGCGTTGAAATTGTGGTTCGTGATCAGAAACTACGGCATCAAAGGTCTCCAGGAGCACATCAGAAAGGTATAACGGGTGCGCGTTAAATTGTTTGCAAATAATTCCAGAACGGCGGGTTCTTTATAGGGCGTTAGGCTGGCCGAGAAATTCGAATCGCTGCTGGCCGGCGACGCCAGGTTCGAGATCCCCTGCGCCCGCCATTTGGGCCTGGTGGTGTTCAGGCTGGTCGGGGACAACGTCATCACGGAGACCCTGTGGAGGCGGCTGAACGCCCGAGGGAAGATCCACTGCGTGCCGGCCAGTCTCAAAGGAAAATACGTCATCAGGCAAGGATACCTTTCGTACTAGGTCGAGCAGTAGTAATCGGTTGTTTCCAGATTTACGGTGACATCGCCGAGGACCACCGTGGAGGACATCGTCGCCGATTGGAAGGAGATCGTCACCGTCGCCGGGGAATTACTCAACGAACGTATCGGCAACGCTGCTCGAGCCAAAGTACCTCTTGCAGGTAGACCTTTACACTGCAACTTTTACACCCTTACTGGAATCGAAATTTGCAGAAACGAGAGACAGGAACGAGAATTTCGGCACGAGCCTGCTGCTGTCGAACGTGCCCACGTCCCCGAAGATCGTCAACGGTTCGTTCGCCGCCATGTACGATCAAGGCGACGTCATCGACGATTTCCTGCAGACCATCAGGCTGAGGAAGGACGCCAAAGACAGCCCCGGTGAGTACCAGAAGGTGTTGCCGTTTGTTGAGCGTTTGATGATGGGTTTCCTGCAGCTATGAGACGTCGGATCAAGGGGATTCTGATGTCCGGAAAGCAGTTTTCGTTGGATTCGAGGTTGGATCTGTTCCATGGGATCGAGCAAACTGGTAGATCGGAGCCGCCTTTGGTGGAGGATTCTAATGAAGCTGATGATACTGTTTTTCTTGGTAAAATGAGTAGTTCTATCAGAATCGGTAGAGAATTGGCTGTGGGTAAGCTAGAGACATCTTTTCATTTAGAGGGATGTTTCAACCCTTTGGAGTTGAGTGAAGATGATGCTACTTAGTGTACACCAAGACAATACATGAAGCTACTCCTGATGAGAATTTCACTTCTGTAGCTGGCTTGTAGCCACAATAAATCCTTCGATCAAAGTTAGTAAAAATTGGCAACGAACGAGCTAGACATCTTCTCCTTCAAAGGGATGATTCAACCCTTTGGAGCTGAGTGAAGATGATGCTACTTGGTGTACACCAAGACAATACATGAGGCTACTCCTGTTCAAAATTTCACTTCTCTAGCTCACCCACAGCCAATTTCAGAAGGCCTCAAAGTGACCGCATTCGTTTGTAGAAGGCGATTTCGAATGCCTGCAATCGCCTTTGAGCGAGCCCACGGATCTGCCATATCACGCTCAAAACCGCTCCAAGTCGGTCGACCACCAAGCGGTCAATTTCATCGAGATGAAGCAGATCTGCGGCAAGTGCGGTCATCTCGTCGAAGACCAAAAGGAGTAGATAACCAATATTGTAATCTCGCTGTATACCCAATTGTAGCCCATTATACACAAATGTAATCTGAACGAGTTGCTCGCTTTTATCTATTCCTTGAGTACTTTTATCGATATCGTGAGGTGATTTAAGCGCGTTGAGGTGTTATTTATAGCTAGTTGTGAAGTGGTAAATATGAAAATTGGTTGTTTTTTGGTGCTGGTGTTTATAATTTCTATAGTAAGTACTCTTGCTTCTACATAGTTTATTTTTATCTCATTGTATGTAAATTCCCAGAACGCTCAGTTGGTTACCATTCCAAATGGCACCATCCAAGGCAGGATCGAGTACTCCAAGCGAGGGATATCCTTCTACTCCTTCCAGCAAATACCCTACGGAAAAGCCGCCAGATTCCAACCCCCAGGACCAGCAGAGCCTTGGGAAGGAATCCTAAACGCCACCAGCAACACCATCGTGTGCTACAGCCAAGGTCTAGCCGAGAAGCCTCTGATAGAAAGCGAAGATTGCCTCGTACTCAACATATACACCCCCAAGGTCTCCCACAAACCCCCATCTAATACCGCCAATAACTCCCGCCGTTTCAGCCGCCATCAATCAACAATTCCCTGCCGGTGGTGTACGCCATGCACGGCGGCGGCTTCGTGGTGGGCTCGGGCGTCTTCGACGTCATGGGGCCCCATTATTGGATGGAGCACGACGTCATAGTGGTGACTATTAACTACCGCTTGGGAGTGTTGGGTTTCCTTTCGACAGAAGACACAGTCATACCGGGCAACTACGGGCTCAAGGACCAGCAGCTGGGCCTGCGTTGGGTGCAGGAGAACATCCGGTACTTCGGCGGGGATCCCCGCCGGGTGACGATCTTCGGCGAGAGCGCCGGATCGGCCTCGGTGGCGTACCAACTGTTAGGAAAGAATTCCGAAGGTATGTCGATGTGAATTAGATAGAGCTCCATCGTATAGAGTCGGGTTTTGGGCGCAGGTTTGTTCAGGGGCGGTATAGCTTTGAGCGGATCGGCTCTGTCGCCTTGGAGCTACCAGAGGAACGCCAGGAAGTACGCCTATCAGGTGGCCTCGTTCCTGAATTCGAGCTTCGACGACAGCTCCACCAGCGAGGAGATACGCGAGCTGTTGCTCCGCAGCACTCCGGAGCAGATCAGGGCCGCCAGTTGGAAATTACCAAAGGTAATGGGATGGTTTACACGGAATCACCCTGTATAATTTTTTATCATATCTACATAGTGCAGGGACGAGCGGAGCAGTGTAATTAAGAGTATGGAAGTGTTCTTAAGAGTAGGGTAGTGTAGAGAAGAGTAGAGTAGTGTAGTTAAGAATATGGAAGTGTTCTTAAGAGTAGGAAATAGTAGGGGAAAATATGGAAGTGTAAGGAAGAGTAGGGAAGAGTGGATCAGTGTAATTTTGAGTATTGAAGTGTTCTTAGGAGTAGGGAAAAGTAGGGTAATGTAGTTAAGAGTATGGAAGTGTCCTTAAGAGTAAGATAGTGTAGGGAAGAGTAGAGTAGTGTAGTTAAGAATATGGAAGTGTTCTTAAGAGTAGGAAATAGCAGGGGAAAATATAGAAATGTAGGAAAAAGTGGGGAAAAGTAGGGTAGTGTAGTTAAGAGTATGGAAGTGCTCTTAAGAGTAAGGAAGAGTAGGGAAAAATATGGAAGTGTAGGGTAGAGTGGGATAGTGTAGGGAAGAATGGGACAGTGTAATTTAGAATATGAAAGTGTTCTTAAGAGTAGGGAAGAATAGGGAAAAATATGGAAGTGTAGGGAAGAGTGGGGTAGTGTAGGGAAGAATGGGGCAGTGTAATTTAGAATATGAAAGTGTTCTTAAGAGTAGGGAAGAATAGGGAAAAATATGGAAGTGTAGGAAAGAGTGGGGCAGTGTAATTTAGAGTATGGAAGTGTTTTTAAGAGTAGGGAAAATTTTCCGAGTGATATTATCGCTTGTAGATCGCCGACGAAATGATGGAGGGGTACATATTCTCGGTGGTAATCGAGCCCGAGCACGATGGGGCCTTCCTCGACGAGCCCATGTACGTGAAAATAGAGCGAGGGGGCGCTTCGAGGGTGCCTCTGATCATCGGTATGTGCTCGGAGGAGAGCATTTGGGGCGCGCACGGTTAGAAAAATTCACTATAAATACAAATACAAAATAGTAGTACTGGTTGTATTATTTTTTTCGCAGATTTGGTGGCTTTTAAGGCCCAGCTCAAAACCTACGACGACAACGTGACATTGTTCGTTAATGACAATATGCATTTAACGGAAGAATCTACCAGAATCGAAGCGGGGAAAGCCATACGCTCTGTATATACCGCTGGTTTGATACAAGATGATATCGCGCACGGAGTGAAAGTAAGTTTTGGGACTCGAAAATACAGAGATACACTCTTCCCTAACACTTCCATACTTTTCCTTAACTCCTAACACGTCCATTCTCTTAATTACACTGCCCCACTCATCCCTACTCATTCCTGTTCTTCCCTACATTGGTTACTTCGATGCGACGCCCTGTATATACGTTTTCTTTGCAGTTTTTCAGCGATAACAATTTCGCAAGGGGGATCATCCAGCACGCTAAATTGCAATCCAGATTCAGCGAGGTGTATTTCTACCAGTTTTCTTACTACGGTAAATTGCCTGGATGGAGACCGAATGTACCGGGTGAGTTCGGTAATTTTTAATGCATCCGCGAATGTAGTTGGGTAATTTTTTTTTGTGTGATCGAAGGAACGGGTCGTGTGAATCACATAGACGATTCGTATTACGTGTGGGTGAAGAATAACGAATCCAATTTGAACGATTATCCGGAAAGCGATGTGATTACTAGCAGGAGATATTTGACTTTGTTTGCCAATTTCGCTAAAACTATGTGAGTATTATAGCCCGTTCGCTATAACAGGAAATTATAACGTTAGCATTAAAACATATCCTGATAGCGAACGGAGTATATAGTTTGTTTGTTTCTTCTATTTTTGGATTTTATATTTTTCTTCTAGGAATCCCACTTCTGATTTCACCGATTTATTGGGAATTGATGATTGGCCGATAGTGACACCGGACGATTTTAATTATTTGAACATAAACGAGACTTTGGAGATGGACAAGGACCTCAAAAATGACACCCATCCAGGATTAGTGGCAGTGTATGAGAAGTATGCTCTAGTGCCTTACGATACGTTTTAGTGAATAAAAATTGTTAAAATTTAATAATAAATAAATCGATTGTAGATATCTATTTTTTTTTTCAAGCGTAATCTGGACTATAGATATTAATATTTGTTCAGAGAAGTTATACTATTTCTATTGATATTCCACAAGGAAATCCTTAATTATCTCGATAACTAATCGGGTTAAAAAAACAAATTTTCGTCAATTTATAGAAAAAACAATCCACTACAAACTTCAAAATAGAAAATTTCAAAAAGTCCTCAAATTTCCCAGATATTTTCTTTATTTTATCGCAAACCTACACAATTTCTGCAGCTATTCCACAAGAAATCCTTAATTATCTCGGTAACTAATCGAGATAAAAAACCAAATTTTCACCAATTTGTAAAAAAAATAATCCTCTACAAACTTCAAAATAGAAAATTTCCAAAAATCCCCAATTTCCCAGATATTTCCTTTAGATAAAAAAAAATAATCCAACAATGACAATTAATTGCAATCATTAATATCTATTTGTTCCTAAAATTTACATAAATATTATCAGAGATTGTTTTTTAGGAAGTCTATACCGGAACAGAACTCTTCCCTATAAAAAAAACAATTTGTTGTTTTGTTAGACGATTTTTAGTAAATAATGGATTTATTTTAATATCGCATAAGTAAGACAAACTATTTTTATAAAAAAAAAACACATAAATATTTATCGTTCGCAAATACCGAGCCATAAAATTCCTATAAAAGCACAACAGATTTCAAATTACTGTTAGATACCCGTAGCGAAAAAATGTATCTCCCGGCCATTTTATTAATAGTCGCCGCTACTCTTGCAGTAAATACACAAATCGCATTTTCACCCCTTTATCTAATCATCACGTTTCCAGGATTCCCAAAGAGTCATCATCCCCAACGGAGTGATACAAGGAAGAGTAGAATATTCTTTGAGAGGATACTCGTTCAATTCCTTCCAACAAATCCCCTACGCTCAACCGCCGATCGGACCCCTAAGATTCCAGGTAAATTATAATCCACACAAAATATATTAATTACTATATAATTAGCCCGTTTCTAAAGCCTCCTTTACCCGCCAAAAAATGGAAGGGAATCTTAAACGCCACCGTAAACGATAAAGTTTGCTATCAAATGAACAATTTGCTTCAATTACCTCCGAACAATCCATTCGAAAGCGAAGATTGCTTGTATTTAAACGTTTACACGCCTGCGGTAAGTTTTATTGATGTATTATTAAATAATTTTTAACACGTCGACTGCCATGCAGTATTCTAATATGCTCTTTAAGTGGTTCCTGCTAAATTGTACCATATAGCGTGTTAATAAATGTATACTTTTAAGGGTACTAAATTAGGGGATAAATTACCGGTAATGGTTTATATCCACGGTGGAGGGTTCGAAGTGGGCACTGGAAACTTCATCTACCTAGGACCTCATTACTGGATGGAGCACGGCGTGGTTGTAATCACGTTGAATTACAGACTGGGACCGTTCGGTACGCGTTTCTCCATTACAATTTACCGTGTAAAAGTAAAAGAACATATCCGCAGGGTTCCTATCTACCGGCGATACCGTTTTGCCCGGTAATTACGGCCTCAAAGATCAGCTGATGGCTTTGAAATGGGTCCGGACGAACGTCGCCTACTTCGGTGGAGATCCCGATAAAGTGACGATTTTCGGGCAAAGCGCCGGCGCCTCCAGCGTCGCGTATCTACTGATGACCGAAAAATCGAAAGGTAAACGCCAAATGAACCAATAAAAAATAACGGTTATTTTGTAACAGTCGTTACCGCACCTCTACACCACAAAATAATTCCCACCTCTATTAAACTTCTGTCGTACGAACTGTCACTCACAGACTACATACTAATGCTGTCACTAATGTCAATTTTTGATAGTTTAAATACCATCGAACGCATCTTAAAATCATACTTGTGAATCCCTTTACCGTAGGTTTATTCAGAGCCGCGATAGCCCAAAGCGGCACCATTCTCAGTCCGTGGGCCTACCAAAGACACCACACCGAATACGCCTACGAGCTGGGATCGTTCTTGGATCCCGCATTCACCACGGAGAACACCACGCAGGAATTAATGGAGTATCTGCAATCCGTTCCGCCCAAAGAATTGAACGAAGCGGCTATCGAACGTTTTCCCGTAAGCAACGGCGCCCCGTCGACTATGTAGTTGAATGAATTTTATGACGAAAAGTTTTGCAGGAACACTGGGAAGTCGATCCGAAGTTGCAAACGCCCTTTGCGCCTTCTATCGAACCCGATCACCCGGGCGCTTTCATCACGGGAAGAATGTACGAGGCGATCGCGGGCGGGAAAATGCAAAGGAGGCCTCTTATGATGGGCACGTGCAGCGAAGACTACATGTACGCGGTCGCTTTAGGTAATAATCTACATATTTTAATCTACTTTTTAATAGTATAGTTCGTTGTAGATGTGAATAGGTTCCTGAATGAAGGTACTAAAACCTTCGATGATAACCTCCTACTTTTGTACAACGAAAATATGCACCTGACCGATGAAAAAAAGCAGTTGGCTGCTGCGAGGGCTATTAAGAGGATATACACTAACGAATCGTTTTACGAGCATCCGGGAAAATTGATTCAAGTAAATTTAAATGTTTTTTTTGATAGTATAAAATAGAGATTATTTTTCTTCAGTTTCGCAGTGATGAAGGCTTCGGATTGCCGGGGTGGAAACACGCGAAAATGCAGTCGGAGTTCAGCGATGTTTTTTATTATCAATTTTCTTATATGGGAAGTATACCGCCTCCTAGACCGAATATACCAGGTAAAAAAGAATATAATCTTCCATTTGCACACTCTCAATGTCTCGATAAAAGTATCTACCGTCTTCAGGCAACAATAGTCTGATGATGGTACGTGTTGTTGTCGAAACTTCTCGCCTAATATATTGAAAGTGTATATTTGTTGCATTTTAGAGTCGAATCGAGTAGGTCATGGTGACGAAAACTACTACATGTGGGTATTTAATAACAACTCTAATTTAAACGATTACCCTCAAAGTGATATAATCACGAGTGAACGATTGAGAACGTTATTCACCAATTTCGCCAAATATCTGTAAGTAAAAGAATTTTCTTAATAAATTAAAAACTTAGAGGATTATTGGGAATCATTTAGAACAGTTGAACACAATCTAGAACGCTCCAGAGACATTTGAAATTTGTAAACTATAGTGTTACATTTAATAATTTTTGTTCCAGGGACCCGACGTTCGATCGTAAAGATGTATTAGGTGTGAATTCGTGGGAAAAAGTGGAACCCTGTACGTTTAATTATTTAAACATTAATGAAACTTTGAAGGTTCAAACGAACCTAAAGCAAGATATTTTCGAAGATTGGGAAAAGGTTTATGATAAATTTGCCGTGGAGCCGCTCGATACGTATTAATTGAACAATATTTGGCGATTATTAATAAAATTATTTAAAATCTGTCAGTAATATTTCTCGTTTGTCCCCATACATAAAAGGCCGTTGATATTGATAATTGATAATATCGTCTAGCCAATTACAGCTGCCTAGACATTGAGCCCGGCCAATCATATTGCTCAATTTTAAATTAATCGTATTACCAGCCAATAAAAGCTCTCGCTGGTGTAGTGACGTTCATACCAAAAAATAGAGCCTTTTGGTATTTATATTGCGCAATATGGACAAAATAAACATTTTATTTTCTCTATGTTGCAATAAGAACATTTTTCTCGGTGAATAAAGATTTCCATCAATGTCAAAAATGTCAAAAATGTCAATAGTGTCAAGTGAACTGTCAATGTCAAATGTCGTAAGTCGCGATGGTAAATGTTATGAAAGGCGTCCTCGTAAAATGGTAATAATTTACAATTTACTCAAACAAAACGACTAAAATGATTAATTCCAGCGATCCGGCCATGAAACAATTCCTACTACGTCTCGACGAAACGCTGAAATTAGGTAGAAAATTCATAATACAAGACCTAGACGAGCACCATTTGTTCATATCGGCGGACATCCTGGACCTCCTCCAAGCGAAAATCGACGATTTAATGGACCAAATCAGCTTCCCGTTAGCCGAGAAAACCGCCTAAACACCCACCCCTCAACCATGACGATCTCGAAATCCACCCTGCGGGGCTCCAACCGCATCAGGGAGCTCGACAAGCGGCGCATCGTCGACGAGACGTCCCGCAAGCGCCGCCAGCGCAAGATGATGGAGCTGCTCGAGTCCGACAACTACCACGACGATCCCCACGCCGACCTGGTCATGAGCAAGAAGGTGCCCAAGTTCGAGGACAACCTCGAGCACCGCAGCACGCGCACCAAGAAGAAGGAGCGCACGACCGATTACTACCAGTTCAAGTACCGCAAGAACTTCCAGCAGCTGCTCGACGAGGACCGGGCCGATGCGGAGTCGGCCAAACGGGTGTCTTACATGGATATACAATGCGAGGAGTCTTCGATACCCCCGAGGCGCTTCTGCGCCGTATGCGGCTTCGTAGCCCAGTATTCTTGTCTATCGTGCGGTACGAGGTACTGCAGCATTCGGTGTATGGACGTTCATATAGAAACGAGGTGTTTAAAATGGACTGCTTAGTACTTATTAAGTTAAATTTATATTATCATTAGCCTAGTTATTTTTTATCTAAATCCCTAATCATTATGTTCTCTTCGATTTTCTTGAAATAACTTTCGGATAGTTTGTCGGCTTCGTCTAGAACTTGCTCGACGCCGAGCACTTCGGGTATGTAAAATTGCATCATGTTTTGCACGCCGTTTTTTAACGTAACTACCGAGCTCGGGCAGCTCGAGCAAGCCCCTTGCATTTTCAGTTTTACTATACCGTCTTCGTACGATACGAAAACGATGTCGCCCCCGTCCTCTTGAACCGTCGGCCTGATTTTTGTGTCCAACAGTTCTTTAATCATTTGCACCGTTTCGTCGTCGTCTTCGTTGATTTCTGCAAATTGTTTAGTTTTGTAAGAGTTTTGCGAGTAATTTATAACGTACGGGTATCTTGACTGGGTGTGGATTCGTTAACAATGGGCAGCCCGCTGGCGAAGAAATCCATAATTGTCGCGAAGATTTCTGGTTTTAATAAATTCCATTTCGCTTCGTCGTCGTCGGATTTGGTGACTGTGATGAAATTAGGGCCGAGAAACACGCTCTTGACGCCTTCGATCCTGAACAACAGCTTCGCTAACGGGGAGCAGTGGGCCGCTTGTCCGTTCGGAAAATCCATCGTTTGTCCGTTGTCCAGAACGTTGACTCCCGGCAGGAATTTCAGGCTGTTGGGATTCGGAGTGTCTTGAGTTTGTATGAACATTCGCAAGCATGACGAGAGCTGGATGTTCCGTTGGAGGGACTTCGAAAGCGACAGGCTACTTGATGAATTACTATTGAAGAAAGTAGAGTTATTTCGGTTTGTTTAATGTTTGTAATGTACTTACTTGGTAGGGTTTATTAGTGGTTTAGGGCTGTTTGTTAAAAGTTTAAATATATTTAATGAATTGCGCCACATATTTGAATGTATAAATAAATGAGTATTGTCAAATTGAATTGGCGTTGGACATAACCTAACATTTTCTGAGAATAATCTGACAACTAAATAAAAAAAAGAAGAAATATTTTAAAATTGATGTAAAATTACTTATTAACAATTACTCAAAATGTTCTCTAAATTCCACGTTTTGCAAAATAAGTACACACTAATCTGCATATTTAAATTTTTTGTGACATATTATTGTTTGACTTGTCAGTAAACGCAGTTTTAATAAAAAGAAGAAAAATTATAACCTAAAAACTTGAACTGTAAAATTGGTGTTAAATCACCTATTTTCAAGAAACTCACTTAAAATGTTCTCTAAAATCCCTTTTTTACAACGTAAGTACACAGTAATCAGCACATTTAATATATTTAAATACTATAATTTTAGCACAACGACTAATAATAATACATAGTAATGGAATCAAAAACTTCAAACCGCCGCCTAATTTCGATCGTAAGTAATTTTTCGAAGTACCTATTACGAATTTAAAGCATTCCTTCCGATTTTTAGACATCGATTTTCCCGAAAAACCGAAATTAAGATTTCTGGATAAAGTTCCGATACTCCCACCGAACGTGAAACCCCCCAAAATGCAGAAGAAGCTGAAATTGATGAGAGGTCCCGAGGAAGTCCACAACACTCTATTGCACAAACAATACGGCATAATAGTATATTTACTCTACTTTACTTAGTAGAATTAATTGTTAACGGGGTATTATTTCAGGCATTAGGCGGAGGTCGATTAAAATGGGGCCATTTTGAGATGATACGATTAACGATAGGTCGAAAAATGGACGCGAATAGAATGTTCGCGATATGGAGAGTGGACGCTCCATGGCAGCCCATTACGAAAAAGGGCCAAGGGCAGCGTATGGGCGGTGGTAAAGGCGGCATCGATCACTACGCTACACCAGTAAAAGCTGGTAATCTATCGGTAATTAATCAATAAAAATCTCACTACTGTATTACGCCGTTTTAGGTCGAGTTATCATAGAATTAGGCGGCAAATGCGAATTCAAAGAAGTGAAAGATTTTCTACACGACGTAGCGATGAAGCTACCCTTCAAAGCGATGGCAGTGTCTCAGGAAATCCTCGACAAGCAAAAGGAACAGGAACGATGGGAAGAGGAAAACAACCAGAATCCCTACACCATGAAATACATCATACAAAACAATCTAGGAGGCTGCTACCGGTGGCTGTCTCCAACCGATATGAAATATTTCTGTAAATACGTGTAAGCTACTAACTAATAACAAACATTGTTGTAGGTATTATCGTTTAATGTTAATAGAAAAATAATATGCGATAAATAATATAAGAACTATAACTAAAAATGGCACTTATATGTACAAGCTTAAATATGTCCCCGTAATTAGTGTTTGTACTCCTTTTCGATGCATTTGGCGATAGTGCTGAGCTGCATGTTGACGGTGCCCTCGTAGATGCTGCCGATTTTGACGTCCCTGTAGAACTTCTCCTGGATGAAGTCCTTGGTGAAGCCGACGCCGCCCATCCAATCGATGCATTTCACCGTAACCGTTTGGGCTATGTCGGCCGCATAGTACTTGGCCATGGCGGCCTCTTTCATGAAGGGCATCTTGGCCTCGACCATTCGGGCGGCGTTGTAGGTGAGCAATCGGGCGCATTCGATCTGGGTGGCCACGTCGGCTATTTGGTGTTGCATGCCCTGCGGATGACGTGAGTTACTTTTAGTTTTTCCTTGTTTATTAAAACTTGAATAGTCGGTGATTGATTCGAGATTTTTTTTGTTTAAGGTCGAAATTCGTCGGTTTTGATGGGAGAAAGTGCCGGTTTCCGTGTACGGGAAGTTGTTTGATAAGACAGTCGACGTTTCGAGTTAAGGGTGTTTCATCTTCAGTGTGGAATTGGCAAAAAAGGCGGTTTTTTTTTCGTTTTTTTTTTCGAATTATGTCAATTTTGAACCTGAAGATGAAACTTACTGGAGTTGAAACGCCGATTTTTGGATTTTTCGTGTCGTTTTAAGTCAGATTCGATCATTTCCTGGTCGAAACAGGTCAAAATAAGTGGAAAAAGGTTGTTATTTGCAATTTAGACCCTAAAGATGAAACTTTCTAAAGTCGAAACGTCTGTTTTTAGATTTTCCATGTCGATTTACGTCGGAATCGTCCTGTTTATCATCACAAAAGTCGAAAAAATGGGAAAAAAAACAAAGAAAAAGCTTTTTATTTGCAGTTTTGACCTTAAAAATGAAACTTTCTAAAGTCGAAACGTCGATTTTTGGATTTTTCGTGTCGATTTACGTTAGAATCGTCCTGTTTATCATCACAAAAGTCGAAAAAATGGGAAAATAACAAAGAAAAAGCTTGTTATTTGCAATTTTGACCTTAAAGATGAAACTTTCTAAAGTCGAAACGTCAATTTTTGAATGTTCCGTGTCGATTTACGTCGGAATCGTCCTGTTTATCATTACAAAAGTCGAAAAAATGGGAAAATGACAAGAAGAAAAAGCTTGTTATTTGCAATTTTGACCTTAAAGATGAAACTTTCTAAAGTCGAAACGTCGATTTTTGGATTTTCCGTGTCGATTTACGTTAGAATTGATCATTTCCTCGTCGAAAAAGTCCAAAAAAAGTGGAAAATCGTAAAGAAAACTTGTTTTTTTTGCAATTTTAACTCTGATGCTAAAACTCTAAAGTCGAAACGTCGTTTTCCAGATTTTCCGTACCGCCTTGCATCGAAATCGTTCTACCCTCAGTCTCAGAAAACCCCCCGAACAAAAACCGGCCGTCGTTCGCAATTTTCACCCCCGAAAATTCGCCACTTCCGCATCCCAAAACGCCCCCTCGTACCTGGAACGTGAACACCGGCTTGCCGAACTGCCGCCGCTCCAACGTGTACGGTATGGTGGCGTCGAAGCACCCTTGGGCCAGGCCGATCATCTGCGCCGCGATGCCGACGCGCCCCTCGTTCAGGATGCTCGCCGCTATCTTGTAGCCCTTGCCGAATTCGCCCAGTATGGCGGACTCGTGCACCTTCACGTTGTCCAGGTTGAGCATGCACGTGCCCGAGGCGACGATGCCCAGCTTGTTCTCCGGCTTGGCCACGCTGAAGCCCGGCGTGTCGCGGTCCACTATGAAGCACGTTATGCCTCTGTAGCCCTGCAAAGTAACAGGCCACGTAAGTACGCCGGGTGGCCGTGCTTTAGGGGGCGATTGTTAGGGGTTCCTGGAGAGTTGTGAATTGGAGAATTTAGGAGTGAGCGAGTTTTTTTTTCTAAAATGTTTTGTGGTAGATAACGAGGTAGATGTCAAAAAGGGAGATGCCATTTTTGGATTACAAAATTGCGTTATTTGTAGTTGACCGGTTTGTGACTACAATTTGTTGTTTTTGTGACTTTCTCAGCGATTTTTGTCTTTTTTCTGAAGCGTTCTAGATAGTTCTAAATGGTTCTGTAGCGTTCTAAATGATTCTAAACCGTTCTAAATGATTCTGGAGCATTCTAAATGATTCTACACCGTTTTAAATGATTTTGGAGCGTTCTTAATGGTTCTAGTTCTAAACAGTTCTAATAAATGATTCTAGATAGTTTTTTTGGAAGAACGACCGAATACGTTTTCTATAATATCTCTGTTAGAAATGCACCTAGAAGTTTGAAATTTGGTATCGATAATGTCCAAACACAGTACTAAATGCAACAAAACTGGATTTTCATACTCCATTCACAGGGCGTTTAAAATTAACTGGCAAACTTAAAGTGGCCATAACTTTGTTAGTTCAAATAGATCACCCTGTTATTTTTAAGCCATCGAGCAAATTCTCACTTTAAAAACTCCTAAATATTCAGATTCGTTGTTCAGTTCACACAAACCCCTTCGGACAAACACCCTGTATAAAATTAAGGTAAGAATGTGTGTTTTACCGCCGAAGGATTGGCGTTGGCCATTATCAGGAATATCCCGGATAGATCGGAGTTGGATATCCACATTTTGGAGCCGTTGAGGATGAAGTGCTCGCCCTCCTTCTTCGCCGTGGTTTTCAGCGCGAACGCGTCCGATCCTGATGATGGTTCGGTGAGGGCGAAACTCGCTACCTGTGAGACATATTTTTTTTTTAATTTTAAATGATATTTCCTAATATATCGCTTGGCAACAAAAACGGTATTATCGCTGAATATAGCGCGATAACGGTTTATTGTGCAAAAGGAGTAATTTGTTTACTGGCGTAATAATGAGTAAAAGGCCGGTTTTCGTGCGTAATGAATTCGAATTTCGTCAGGGCGCTCTTTTGCAATGCGTTGATTATAGTTCAGTAAATATGTTATTTAATACGTATTTTATAATACAGTAATTCTTAAAAGATCCAATATACAGGGTGTTTCATTTAATCCTAATAAAGACGTCACCCAGTTGATTATTGTTTTAGTCAATGATTTTTGACAATACGAACCTGGATTTTATAATGGGTCGATAAATTGTCCTAAAAATTTCAAAAAAATATACCGAGCGATTCAAAAATTGTAGGTCGCAAAAGAAAATGGGTCAAATTCAAAAAACTCTCAAATATAATGAAACACTCTGTATTAATTAATTAATTACTGTACTATACTCGTTTATTTTTAACTAAATATCAACTATTCTAATTGTTCGATTGATTAAGTACACGATATTCGAACAGCGATTGCGAGAGTCCTGTTTACAATAACAATATTGTTTTACGAGAAATTTATCGAAAATTCGATTCGAAAATTTATTCATTGCATATTATACTCACACAATTTTTATCTCATCTCATACAAAAGCGGTTATTTAATTTCAATGCCACACGCGATTTATTATATCGTTTCCAAAAATAACAATCATTTATACATTAATTAATCGCAAATCGAATTTATTTTTCGGGAGATCTAACAAAACAGACCCCCAATTTTCCGCATCGAGGTGTACAATTTAAAATACAGGATGTCCCAATGAAAAGTAGCCCCTTTAATGAGCTAATAATTTTTAAATCATAAAAAATGCGGTTTTCGCAGATATATTTTATTTTGCTATAACTTTTTGTTACAGTGACACAAAATTTTTGTATCGCCTGTACAGGGTGTTGCATAAAAATCCCCTCTTTTAAATTCAATTTAACCAAAATGTAATGAAATAGGTCATCTTCTTTTGTAGAATAACGTATAGTAAGAATAGAAAGGTAGAAGAGTATAACTTTCAAAATACCTCTGTATATACGGGGTGTTCCATTTAAAAAATTTGATTACTGTGAATTTAAAAGATGAGATTTTGATAAAAACCCCTGTATATTGGTATAAAGCATAATTTCTGTATCACTGTAACAAAAATTCTAATAAAATAAAACATATTTGAGAAAACCGCATGTTTTTATGATTAGGCGTTTAAAATTTATAAGCTCATTAAAGGAGCTACTTTTCATTGGTACACCCTGTATTGTAATATTAAAAAAAACCGGAAATATATTTCGATTACCAAAACAAATTATCGGAGCCGTATTTAACTATTAATTATCTAAATTACGTCGATCTCACGAAGGACAAACAAACGTAATATTTATTCTACTAGTTAATTTAATTCGAATTTAACTCACCGTGTCCTGGGCCAATCGCGGTAGATATTTCTCCTGCTGCTCTTTGCTGCCGTATCTATTTATCACAGTGTTCACCAGGGTGTTGTGGATGTCCACCAGGGCACCCACGGCGGGGTCCACCTTGGAGATTTCCTCGACAGTCAGAATGGCCGTGAGGAAGTTACAACCCGATCCGCCGTAATCCGTGTCTATTTCGATCCCCATTAGCTGGAATTCGCATAATTTAGTGCCAATCGAAAAACCCCAGGGCGCTGACAAGCAGTACCGCCACTAGACGTTCGGCAGTAGTGCCAACTTACTCACCCCGTTGTCGAACAAAGTTTTCAGGACCGAATCGGTGACTTTCTTTTCGTCTTCCATTTGACGAACGAACGGGGCTATTTGCTCTTTAGCCAATTTCGCCACTAAAACGTACATTTTAAATTAAAAAAAAAAAAAAATGTTGAAAAATCCAATCGAAAATCCTACCTGTTTCCTTCATGGCGGCCTCGTCTTCAGTGAGACTGGTCAAAGGCAATCTGCCGCTACCCTCGGGGAGCTCCTGCTGTTGGGGTTGCTGTCTGTTGGTCGCGCTGACGGCCAAATTCCTGCTGGCGATTTTCTTCAACCCCCTGAACACCTGCGAACATTTCGAATTCGAATTTTTCCCGAGCATTTTCCAACGAATAACTTACTTGTTTGCTAATGGGATGCATGTTGTGTATGATTTGATTGAATAGCTATAAAGGTGATTTGTTGGTTTCCGAGTTCGGTGAGTAGAATGAGCGAGTGGGAACAGAAACTGGTTTATATATAGGTATATAGTGTACGAATAAGCGACATGGCTTCTATGTATATAGTATACAGGGCGATAGAGCTTTCACCGCTTGCTCTGCTAATCAGCATTTTTGTTTATTTCAAACGATTTGAACAATATATCTTAAAGCGATAATTTGTTGATTTTGAAAGTGCTATTTTCAAGGTTACAATCGCATTTTTTAAATACTGGTTCTTTACTTACAACAAATCTATTTAGTTATTAAATGACCGTCCATGCATATTTAATTATTAATGTGTAATAAATTTTGGAATTTAATTAGAATGATTTCTGAAAGTAGGCTTGACCTTTAAAAGATGCATTTGCATTTTATGCAAAACCTCTAAATATTCTTTACTAATAGAATGATAAACTCTGACCTATTGTAGCATCTAATTGTTTATAATAATTCATCACTAAATATTCCAAAATTTACAACTCATGATTAATTAATGTATCTAAGAATACCCCTATATAAAACAAAAACATTAATATTCATTAATTTTATTGTTAATTATTATCTTATTTCATTAGAAATCATTATTGTTAAAAGTGTTGCCTACATTTAAGACAAGTATCTCGATCTCGCGTGCTTGGTAACATTTTATTCGGCGAATTTAAGTTGGTACCAGTGGTTCAGTTTCTTTTCTGTCAAAAATTTGTGCTGCTGTTGTCGTAAGTTCGATATCTATTTTTCATCCTAAATCATCCATCGTTTTAAAATAGTTTTTACCCGAAATTACATCCTAATTGAATCGTTCGAATCAATAATTATGGGTTCGACTGCGTATTTTGTTGCATATTTATTGTTTCATAAAAATTTCCACAACATAACCTACACACACGGTGTTTTAGGGCCACAACATGAAGTTCAACAAATTGGTAACGGCTTCGAGAAACAAAAATAGGAAAAGGCATTTTTCCGCCCCTTCTCACATTAGAAGGACTTTGATGTCTGCTCCTCTTTCGAAGGAACTGAGGCAAAAATACAATGTTAGCACTATGCCCATCCGTAAAGACGACGAAGTCCAAGTAAGTACTTGTATTAATCAAGATGGAAATGCGTTATTGAAATATATATGTTGTAGGTCGTAAGGGGACATTACAAAGGCCAACAGGTTGGTAAAGTCGTCCAAGTTTACAGGAAAAAGTTCGTAATTTACATTGAACGAATCCAAAGGGAGAAAGCCAACGGGGCTAGTGTTTACGTAGGAATCCATCCTTCCAAAGTAAGTTCTCAAATCGGTAATCTCGATTTAATAAAGTGTGATATTTTAATGATGATCCAAACCATTCGTAGACTGCAGTTTCAGAACTATCCGACGATGCTGTTTCTCGAAGTTCTTTCGAGAATAATGTAACGTTGTTTAGATTCGGCTGCACCTTGGTGAAGAATTTGGCGCTGAAATCCAATTAAAAAAGTTCCCCATGTTTTATCTAATTTGATTTTTATTCATTTTAATTACGTATTGTATTTTACAGGTGGTCATTGTAAAGTTAAAAATGGACAAAGATAGGAAGAAAATAATTGACCGCAGAGCCAAGGGTCGTTTGGCTGCATTGGGCAAGGACAAAGGAAAATACACTGAAGAATCGGCTGCGTCTGCTGTAGAAACATCTTAAGTGTAGAAGTAATTTTTATTAATAAAGTTAATATTAAATATTGCTCTAGATGGCATTATTATGCTAATATTTAACCTTTATATTGAAATATCGATGAAGAATTTTACCACATTACTTCAATTAGAGTAATAGGGTAGTTATCAATGGCATGTAAGATTCAGAACATTCATCAGATTATGCTTAGTTTATACGAGAATTGTTACTGTCCAGTACTATCACTATCCTATACGTAGGTACAAATCTTGGAAGAATGTTTCTATATTCAAGATTATTGGAACTCCTAAGGTTCGCTTTAACACGGGGAAACTATTGTTATCTAGGTAGTACTCGGAGTAGTAGAAAAATACATTTATTTTACTCGTAATTAACAAAAAAGCATATACAATTTGTGTTTAGAAACTAATGGGATTCTTCAAGATTTTCCTCATTCGAAGATGGGGCAGATTTAATTATAATTTTTAGAATACTGTAAACTGTATCTGGCGAATGGCCCATATTCAGAAGTTCCATGATCAATCTAAAAAATATGTTATAAATAAGGTGCAGAAAATTAAATGAAAATTACTTACTTGAACACCTTGGGACTCATGGAGACTCCTGCCAATTCTCCGAGCTCTTGGAGTTCTTTTTGATGCGGCCTTAATCTTAAATCGTCCATTTTACAAGTAGTTTTTACAGCTTTTCTTTTAACAGATAAAATTGTTTTGTTTTTAAAATTGAAATTTATCTAACCTACAAATATTTCATAGTTATATTCTTCTTTTTTGCGTTTAATAGACTGAATAGCCCAAGTAGATTAGATTCGCATTGTTTATGTTGACATTTGACGTTGACACACGTGTTTGACTGTTTTTTTACGAATTTCTCAAATTCATTCGTAATAACAATGGTAAATTCTCTCATTAAACGTATTAAACAGCCGTAATAATAAGAATCTCGTTAATTTCAGGACGTTTTAAGGCGCCCAGCGGAAGAATTCGAAAACGACCAAACCGTAGAAACTCTATGGGCAATCAAAGCCTTCGAACACGCAGAAGTATATTTCAACGTAAGTACCCAACTTTTCTCATTTCCACCGGTCAATAACAACACATTACTCGCAGATTCTCTGTTCCGTCGACCCGAAACTGCTGAAACTCACCCCCTTAGACGACCTCATATACTCATCATTCCGACAGGAATTCCCCAAACTAGACATCGAAGTCATCAAAGAAGACGAGCTGAAGAGCACGAAGGAAAAGGCCAAATGGCGGCCGTACTGCGAGAGATTCAAGAACTTAGTCGAAGACTACAGCTACGGTACTCTGTTAAGATCGGACGCTAAAGACGATTACAAAGAGGACAATACCATGTTGGTAACTCGAATTCAGTTTTACGCTATAGAGTTAGCTAGGAATAAAGAAGGTGTAAACGATATACTGAGATCGAAATTCAAACCTTGCAAATCGGAAGGCGATTAGTTTATTATAGATTAGGTGACTTCAGCTCAACAAAAAAAAAAGATAGAAGAGACTGAATATCTGTTAATTAAGTGAGTAATTTTTTTTAACCAAAATATATAAGTAAACAGTAAAAAAACAATACTTTATTTAGCATAATCCGTACATACGCCTTCTAATATTCTCGTTACATTATCAATCTTATCGATTTGTACTATTTACAATTACGTATAACTCATTCAAGCGTTTAACGTCGTCCTATTGGAGTACTCCCAGGAGGTTTCCTCCTGCGGGGGAGCGTTCGGGGTAACCCTTCGATACTCCTGCCCGTTCGCTCGACCACTTGTGCCCCCCGGTTCGTATCTCTTTCTCCTGCAAGCCAGCACCGTCAGTACGATAGCGCCCAACAGCAACTCGATTCCGATCAACGCCACTAATATCACGCTGGCGACGTACGGCTCGAGCAGGAGCTTCACGCACACGCCTACTATCACGACCAGTACGATCGTTACTGCCGTCAGTACCACCAGCCACAGACTGCATTTATCTGCAAACGAATTGGCGGGAGATTAAAGTCGATCGAAATGAATTAATTGTGGGTTTAATTGCAGGTGTTCGAGGGAGGATAGTGAGAGTTCGGTCGCGGCCGGAGTGGATTAAGTAGGTAAGTGATTCGTGTGATTGCGGAAAAAAAACACCTAATATAGAATGTATGAGAACAATGCTAAAGGGATTAGTGTAGTAGAAATAATGAATCAGATATGTAAGTGAATCATTAGTTTGAATATTTCGATGTCTACTACTGTTATATTGGTGTAAATTTGGAGACGTACCTCTGTAGAAATACATCAACTAATCCGGGAATGTATTATATATAAAATTTAAATATAGTGATTCACGCACTGGCACTTTTGTGATAAGTATGTAAAATAGAGATGCGCCCGAGGACGCGATCATCGATCATTCGTGCGCGTACTGAGTAAACTATTCGATTTATTCGTGTATATATTATACTTACCCGTGACCGTTGCCGTCGTGGTGGTACGATTGACGGCGACTTTGCTTCGATTGCGATTGACCTTCGTTGTAGCCATTTATAAATCGTGTCGAAATCGGATTTTTGTAGGAAATTACTAATAGGTTTGCATCGTGATTGTACCTGAGTGATGTATCTGCGAATCGTTTGATCGTAGTATTTACGAAACGATATTGTAACCCACTCGGAATTGAGTAAACATAATCTAATGATAAGAGTGGATTCCGCGTTGATTGTACGGACGGGGGGCTCTTATCTTTCGAAATTCTATTACGGGAGGATTTTGTTTAATTAACTTTTAATGAGTCAAACGCCTAAATTAGGTTTTTATTGCAGTTTTGTCTATTTAAATATACGGCGCGTTTTTCGAAAATATTTTGTTTGTTTTTTATTTGTGTTAAACGTGCTCACGCACGCAAATCACAACATTGAAATACGAGATAAACTTGGTAAACATATTAGTTTACAAATTGGTGTCAATAAAACTATTACGATAGTGGGAAGTGGAAATTTAAAAAATTGTAACGGGAACAGTTGCAACGATTGTAAAAGGCCAAGTGTCAAAGTGTGGCAACGGTGGAAGATTTATTACTGTCATTGGGCGTTCTGTCAAAATGTAAAAAATAGCCAAGTTTCCTACATAGTTTAGACCACTTTTAGAAAAAGAAGAAGAATTAACACATTTTATAACCTCAAAAAGCAAACAAACGACACGATAAAATTTCAAAACTTTTTATTGTAACAACTAAATAAAAACAGGTAAATCTTAACAATAAATTAACGTACAATTATATAAAACAGTATCTTTTAGACAAGAATTGGTAAAATGGATTCGGATACTTTAAACGATTCCGATGATAGCGAGTATTCGGTCGAGGAAACGGCCCCGAATAAGGTGAAAAATAAGCGAAAATACGAAGACATCCCCACGGACGCGCCCAAAACGAAGAAAAAATCGAAAAACGAATTGTACAAACCGCCGACAGTCGAAGAATTGAACAACCTACGCGAAACGGAGAATTTATTCAACAACAACCTATTCCGATTGCAAATCGACGAATTACTGACAGAAATCAAGATAAAAACGAAGCGAGAAAGCGCTCTGAGCAAATGGCTGGAGAATTTCAAGCAGTGCATCAAAAAGCTACCCACAAAGGAAATCGCATTGTTGAATTTGTCGAATTCAAAAGACAAATTATACAAATACTTAACCGAGCAAGAGAAATTGTTCAAAACCGACCAGGATGTCTTGTTGAAATTTACCAAACCCGAGGAAATACAATCGTTTGGTTTGTCTGACAACAACTGCGCTCCCGGTCCGCATTTACACCACCGCATTAATTTAACGATGCCTAGCAGTTGCTTTTTGTCCAAGGATTATTCGAACAACAGATACCTGGTGAAGAGATATTACTATTTGTTGTTCGTATCGTATTACCTGAAACAATCCGATTTGGTAGCGAATTTGAAAATTTCGCGTTACGAAAACAATCATCTACTACCGGTTATCGAGCTGACGCCTAAAGGTACCGATAAAACCACCGTATTCATATTAGTAACGCCTGTCGAAGGGAGTTTCAAACCGACGAGGTTTTTACCCGAGCAAAATAATTGTAAAACGGACTTATTCGATTCTGATATCGATGCCAACGTGTTAAAAAACACCCCTACGATTTTCTACAATAGTTTACTAGCTCACGATACGACTCTCTACATAAACAACCAATTTCTCAAATCCCTGCTAGAAGGACAGAAGAATATACAAGATGGCGTGAAACTTCTAACAGTGTGGTTGCGACAAAGGGAATTAAACGTCGGCGTAGGATCTTTCACCGAAACCATATTAATCCATTTAATAGCCTATTTGACGCACAAGAAGAAAATCAACAAATTCATGTCGTCCTATCAAATAATCCGGAATTTTTGGAACTTTATCACCACAGTGGATTTATCGAAAGAACCGATCGCTCTAGGCGAAACCTCCGAGGAATCGATGAAAGCTTTCAAACAATCCTACGATATCGTAGTGTTAGATAAAACGGGCTGTTACAACGTCGCTTCGTTCCTTAGCGCTGATTTATACGAGAAAATCAAAACAGAAAGCCGCTTAGCTTTGAAACATCTAGACGATAACAGGAACAATTCCTTCAATAATCTATTCCTGACCAAACGTCCGTTCCACCTCCAATACGACGCTATAATCGATTTAACCGAATCCCTTCCACTAGAAATCGATCACGACGTTAAATCACAACAGAAATGCTCTTACATAGGCTACAAGGATCTCTTGATTTACAAGCACATCTCCGATACCCTAAAGAGAGGTTTAGACAAGAGAATCGTACACATCGTACCGAGAATAGAAGCTAAAGAGGGCACCGCGACTCGCCTGTTGTTCGGCTTAAATTTAAACCCCGACGAGGCGTTTAGCTTCCTGCAAAAAGGCCCGGCCTTGAGCGACTTCGAACGGGCCTCGGAATTCCGGAAATTCTGGGGCCCTTTGGCCAGCGATCGACGATTCAAAGACGGCTCCACCAACGTGGCCGTTTACTTCAAGACCAACACCATCAAGGCCAAGCGCGGCATCGTCGCGAAGGTCCTGCGGTACCTGTTGGTCGACAAGCTCGGGCTCCGCTGCAGGATACACTATGATCAATTCGAGGAGTTCCTGCTGTGCAAGAGACTGGTGCCTTCGTATCCGAGCGGTACGAACGAGGAGACTTGTTTGAAGATCGTGCTGGCCTCGAACGAGTTGGGCAAGAAGCTGAGGGAGTTGAGCGTTTCGTTGAAGATCACCGGAGTGCAGGGTGTGTCCGATGCGTTTGCTTATTCGGAGATTCACCCGCCGATACCTTCCAATTTTCAGGTAGTTATTTCGGAATATGTTAATTTCTCGTAATTGATCGTTTTTTTTTTTAGATTAGCTCTTTTACGTCGATTAAAGGGAACAATTTCGTAATGAAGTGTGATGCAGATGGGGTGCCTCGATATGTACAACCCGTTGAATCTGTGTTGCAATTAGAGCACAGCTCAAAGTGGCCTAACGATTTGTCGGCTGTGAGGCATTTGAAGACTTCCTTTTACCTGGAAATCTCCAAGCAACTGGAAACTGACGGTCTATTAACGCACCCGAGCAGGGATTATTTGGACGTGTTCTACCAAGGGATAGTGTTCCGTTACAAGCTGTTTGTGCCCAAGGAAATAGGCCTGAGCAAGAGGATCGAAACGGACGAGGGTTTGACGTCGTTCAAAGACTCCGATGAGAGCGATGATTTGGAACTATCGCTGAACATCCTGCCGAAAATAACCGGCGCTTTGAGAGGGATCCAATCGATGTATCCGAGTTACGGGCCCGGCACGTGCTTGATCAAGCGCTGGTTGCGATCGCATTTAATAGACGAATATCACGTGTCCGATATAACGATCGATCTCCTGAACGCCTCGTTGTATTTGGACGAGAATACGGCGTCTAATACGCCGCAAATGTCCTTTCTGCGATTCTTGAAGTTCGCGTCCGAGTTGGATTGGAACTTGCAAATCGTGTTGGTGAATTTCAACGGGGATCTGACCGCAGAGGAAATAGCCAAGGTGGAATCCGAGGTGCAGAATAATAGAAATTCGTATCCGAATTTGTTCGTTTTAACGCCGTACGATCGATACTCGTCGGCGTTTACCAGAAGAAGGCCGTCGAAGGAGATTTTGAGCAGAATCAAACGGCTGGCGGCGGAGAGTTTGGATTATTTCGAGAAAATGTTGGCCGGCAACAGCTCGATAGGGATTAAGGAATTGTTCCTTCCGAATTTCGAGGGTTACAACGTGTTGATACATCTGAAACCTTCGATGGTACCGAGGAGATTCGAACGGATATCGTACGGTACCGTCGATAGGAAGGTTGTGGATAAATACAAACTTTCGAAGGACGATAGAATACCCATCGTGGATTTCGATCCGGTGAGGGATTACTTGGAGGCGTTGAGGAAATATTACGGGAAGTACGCAGTGTTTTTCTACGATCGATACGGTGGTTGTACGATAGGCGTTTTGTGGGATCCCAAGACGTTGGAAACGACGGATTTTAAAGTGAATAAAATAAACGGAGGAAAAGTAATCGATGGGAGAATCATCGCCTTTAACGAAGACGCGGTTATCGAAGATTTTTATGTGATCGGTAAAGATTTAGTCAAGTCTATAGAAAAACGAACGGTTTGTAAATAAATGTTTTGAAAAATTACAAAAAATACTTTAATTGGACATTATCAAAAAATCTAACACAATTTTTTTAGGCGAAACTAAATACCAACAACGAATTATTAAATAATAGGTGATTTACTAGCCATCGATTTGTCAATAAACGCAACATTTTCCTTACATTAGATATTTTCTTAGATTTAAGCGGTACCGACACACGTTATCAGAACCGAGCAAACTACGCCCGATCCAAATAAACACCTAACGTACATTTAATAATATTTTGGTTAACTGGATTTAATTTAAAAACGACAACGACCCTCATTCCTCGTTGGCGTCTCGAAGCTGCAAGGCGTATTCTAAATTCGTGACGGCCATATCCAATTGCGAGAACAATAACTTAATGGAATTGGATATGTCGTTGTATTGCTGTAACGCGACCAGCACTTTCTTGGTGATGTCCCTGCATTCCCCGTACAATTTGAGATTGCCCACGGCCACCTCTTCCAACTTCCCCGAGAACTCCACCACTTTGGATATGTTAATGGAATCGATGAATGGCAACAGGGACTCCAACGTGCTCACCGTCTGTATCGTATCCTTCAATTCGGGATACAATTCGAGTAAATACTGGCGTTTCGCTTCCACCTCGAGCTCGTCCGCCTCGCTCGTGGGATTCAGGTAGTCGTTGATGACGACCAGGTGTTGCAGCATCGACGTGATCGATTCGCGACAGGTCAACGCCGAATTGATCATGGTTTGCGTTTCCACCAGCAAATTCGTTATGGTTTGCGTTTTGTTGGATATTTGCTTGTAGTCGCCCAAAGGGAACACCTGCAGCTCGAGGGCTTCGATGCGTTTTTCTAGTACGGCGATCGGGTCCATGGCTGCGAAGGCGTACGGATCGGGGATCGGTTAGTTAGTTTTGTTGGTAAACGTACTATCGTTGATGTTAATTAAATAAAAAGGTAAATTTTGCTTTAAAAAATATGTGTTTTTGGTTGACGTTGACAGTAGTGACAGGTGTTGACTTGACATTGACAGTAGTGACATTTGCGCAGTGACTACTTAGACAGGGTCGTACTTAATTTATAAATTTCAATAATAAAATAAAACTACTTTCTTTCTCTATAAATATAATGTTATACTTTGTAATAAAAATAAAATATATAAACTAAATTTGGGTAGACCGCATTATAACTATTTTCCTTCCTATCAATTTACTATTTTTTTTTAATCTAGATGTTCGTGTTCATTCCGCTTTTCAGCCAGAAATTGTTAACTGTTAGTTTATTGTAAGAAAATAAAAAAAGGTTAAAGTAGAGTGAATGAATCGTACCTTAGGGGGAGACCCGCAAAATTGAATAGATCGAACAAAACATTTTCCTTGTTGCTGATGTACTGGCTGAGTAAAGGCGAGACCTCGTATCCGTGCATACTTGGCCTTTTACTACACAAGTACAATTATTAATAACGAAATAGATTTATTATAAAATATTTATTTAAAAACTAATTAACAAATTCATTCCGCGTCTCCTTCTGCGTCTATATCAGTTTCGTTTAAAGACATTTGCAACGTTCTAGCCCACAAAGGAGGTAACGTAGCAAACGTCATATAACCCGTATGCCCCGGCAAACTAGCCGGAGGAACCGCCACCACGGCCTTCGCGGTTTCCCGTTCCTTCTTCTCGGCCTCTCCGGCCGCCTTTTCCGTTCTAACGAATTCCAAATTCACGACGGGCACGTTCCGTTGTTGAACGCTCCACTGCGTCTGGAGCACCTCCATCGTTTGCATCTCCTGAAATCCGGCTTTGAGCAAGGCCAAACAGGTCCTCTGCACCTGTTCGATGCACGGCGAGAACGAGCACAGCCTCCCGCCCGTCGATTTGAGCGCTCTGATGGCGTGCGGAACGGCCAGCCAGGGATGCGGAAGGTCCAAAAACACCGCATCTGCTGTATCGTTTAATTCATCGCCGAAGCCCCGCTCGCACACGTCCCTTTGCCTCACCGTAACGTACTGCGATAAACCGTGCTGCTTGAATTCCTCCTGTGCTGTCGCGGCTCGACCCTCGTGGAACTCGAACGTGTGCAAATGTCCGTGCGGTTTGACCGCTCTAATCAAAGCGTGCGATAAGGATCCACTGCCGGTTCCGCTTTCCACCACCACGCTGCCCGGACTGATTTCCAATTGGAGTATGATCATGCTTATATCGGGCGTGTATATGATTTGGGTCCGATGAGGAAGGGTCACCGTCCACAGTTCGGGCGTCGGTTGTAGAACGTAGGCCCAGCCTTTGCTTAATTGTACTTTCGTTCCGAACCGTGCTCCGATCAAATCGCCGCATCTGAGGGCTCCGTAGGGCGTTTGAAACACGTTGTCTACTCTGTTGCCTTTTTTGTTAGTTATTTTCGGTAGCGCTTCGACCGAATATATTTGCGATGGCGTTAGATACACTATCACCACGTCGCCTTCTTTTATTAGCGTTTTGTAACCGTCGAAACTCATGTTTTTGGCGATTATTTTGATGATTTTCATGCACTAACTCGACATGTTTTTGTTGACGGTTTTTTGGAGGTTATGTTCTTCTTCTTTCTTAATTTTATCGTTAATTTCAGAAGGGGCTGTATAATTGTGATAGTAGAGGCAAGGAGAAACGTCACTGTCAAATGGGGTCTGAGTTGGAGTTGGAAAGTAAAGTGGTGGTGGTAAAAATGTGATGCGTTGACCGAAATTTGTTCCACGTCGAAACCAACAGCCGCTCTACATCGTTTCGTAGGAGGTATAAGTAAAGAACAGCGATCGTTCTTTTGAGTGAAAAATCGCCTGTGATAGTTGGAAATAGCTACGAAAATGAACAAACTCTTATTTTTCGCATTTTTGCTGCTCCCCGCGCTGATATTTATATTCGAAAACGGTAAGTAAAGTTTCTCTCATCAACCGAATGGGTTCATTACCATACACTTTTAGGAAAACTCGTAACATACGCCGAAGAAGATGCCCTAGAAGACGAGGTGGAAATTGAAGGTGAAGGAGACGTAGAAGAACAAGCCAACTCGGAGGACGAAGAAGACACCGCTTCAACTACATCACCATACGCCGATACAACATTGCTATTCGTAAGGCCTACTTTAACTGGATCCTCGCAATTAGGTTCGTACGAACACCTTTTATCTCGCCTATACCACAACTCAACGTAATTTTATCGTAGAACTACCGGCTGGCCGTCCCGTGGAGTTTCTGGTCGGGTTCCGCAACAAAGGCGACCAGGAATTCGTCGTTGACACTTTGGAGGCCTCCTTCCGCTACCCCATGGACTTCAATTTCTTCATACAGAACTTCTCGGCCATTCCCTACTACAAGACCATCGAGCCCGAGCAAGAGGCCACCTTCCACTACAGCTTCCTGCCGTCCGAGACGTTCGCCGGCAGACCGTTCGGTTTGAACATTTTGCTGAACTACCGCGACAACGGAGGCAACTTCTACCAAGAGGCCGTTTTCAACGAGACCGTGCAGATAATCGAATTAGAAGAAGGTTGGTGTATATTCGATTTGAAGCGGATTCGATGTTAAAAAATTTGTTATTTTTCAGGTTTAGACGGTGAAACGTTCTTCCTGTATGTATTTTTGGCTGCCGGTGTAGTTTTGTTGTTGGTAATAGGCCAACAAACTCTCCTATCGGTTGGTAAAAAACGCAGTAGCAGCAGCGGTAGCAGTAACAGCAGTAGGAAATCGGCTCCGGTCGAGACCGGTACCAGCAATCCCAACAACGTAGATTACGATTGGTTGCCCAAGCAAACCCTCGCTAACTTGAGTAAGTACTAGTTTAATAATAGTCTCTATATTGCAATGGAATAAGTGTTTGGATATTTGAAGCATTAAATAAATTGTTTCTTCCAGACAAAGAAGTACTGCAGAAATCTCCGAAGAGCAAGCCGGTGAGTCCCAGACAGAGAAAAGTAAAAGCTGGTGCGAACAATCACAGTTAATCACGACAAGTTAGTGGACTAGCGACTGATATTTTTTTATACCATCATTAATATTTCTGTTTTGCGCCCAAAATAAAAAGACCCATCATTAAATTTCTAACATCTTAAGGAAGCTCGAAATCTCCCAGGTTTGGTTTTTGTGCGAGTTGATTGTCGAACTCGCTGGGCGGTTTCGAGCTTCCATATAATTTATAATATTCGATGTGTTGTGAATTTTTTAAATTGTTATATTTTTCATTAGATTAATTACTATAAAATCTGCACCATACTGGTGGATAAGACTATTAAAGAGTAATTTGATTTGTAACGTTGTGGTTTTTCGCAATCCCACCTCCCTGATAAGATAAATTTGAATGTGATAAATTTGTAGAAAAATTGGTTACTGGATGTTAGGCAACTCATTATACACTTGTTTAAAGTTGGTCAAACTGACTTTTGACGTCTGTCAATCATGTCAAAATTTACACAAATCGATGTAAATAAACAACAAAATTCGTTTTATTGTTAAAAAACAACCCAATTTTCTACCAACAAATGTAATTGTGGCATAAACTTATTTTTGTACCGGTGACAATTAGTAAATTACGCACAAACATAGACGTTTTAGTTTAAAATACCAATATTTTTGCGCACAAAAATGTGTATACATCGTTCGTGTATGTGTGTAAAGTAAACCTACCCTAAACCCGTTTACACATGCATTTTTGGATAGATAAACGTAGTCAAAGATGTGGATTTAACACTCGACAGATCCCGCCGTCGTTTTCAGGTAATCAACCGATCAATTCGTAGTCGCTTGAGGCTCTAACGCAGACCCGTTGCTTTAAAGGTTACGGAAGGAGCCAGAGGAGTTTGTGCGGAAGTTTCTATCCCAAGCCGATGGTAACTCCGGTGCATCGATTCCAGTCGATCGAGGGCGGTTTGCGCGCTAACGGACGATCCGGATACAACGGCAGGCTGCCGCAGCTCTCTCCGATACCATCCACTTCCGTGCATTACAAGTAATCTAACGCAAAGAAATAGTTAAGAAGGAGTTCCTGTATTTTGTGCGGTTTCAGCAACGCCGATGGGCACCGCTCGCGGAGCGCCGCCGGGCCGGGCGAGGCCCCCGAATCGGATCCGGCGCGGCCGAACAACCCATCGCCCACCTACAGGCTGAAATGCGGCGTGTGGATCTTCTTCGCTTTGATCATGTTCTTTCTAGCCGGGGCCAAATACTATTTTCACGGGGTGAGCACTTCTAATTCGATCTACCGTTTAACTTTAATTCGTATTGTACAGATCAACATCGGAGTGGAGGTGCTCGTGTTCGTTTCCTTGCTGGTGGTGGCTCTCATGTTGGGCGGGTTGATCTCCCTATGCGAAGCAGTGGCCTCGTTTACGCCTCCGGCCAATCGATCGGACACACCGATCATGAGAATCATCGAAGAGGTACGCCCGGTTTACTTCGAATGCAGTTATTATTCCTGCTGTTGTTTCTAGCAAGAGCAGGAAGAAGGCGAACGGAGAAATAGTACGGTGAATGTGAACAACAACGCCCCCACAGAAATGCCGCCTCCGCCTTACCACATAGCCGTTATGTTGTGTCCGAGAGGCGGGAACGATTTGAATACGGTGCATATTATCAGGGATTCCCCGCCGCCTACGTACGAAAAAGCGGTGACTTAGTAAGTACGATTTGAACGAAGTTTAATGGGTCGTTTGGTTCGTCGGGTTTCTTCGCCGAAGAAACGAAAAGGTACGTGGTTGTTTAACTAGAGAAAAGTGGCCAATTCGAAGCCAATCCGTGATAATTCTATTCTATAACCGAGTAAAAGGCTTTTTGTTAAATTCGAAGCCGTTATAAAGAGGTTTTTTTCAATTCAATGACGCGTTTCTTCTTGAAATTCTGCATGTTATATAAATATATAAATATACTGTAACTAATTCCTTCTAATGTGTAACTGCGTCCCCCGTATTCGGGAGATTTTTTTATAATCAAATGGTTATTAAAAAAACCTCTGAATACGGGGGTTAAATCTCGTACGATTTTTTTTTGTATGAAGATATCTTGCAATTTTTCTATTGAAATATTTTTTAATATCCTGTTGTAAATTTGACGTGTATACATTTTACATCTTACATGTTATAAATATTTTTTCTTGGTGTACAACTTTTCGTTTTTTCTTCCTCTCGCTCTCGTTAAATAAATAAATACATTCGTGCGTTAATTTGAAAATTAAAGTTTATTAAAATTTTTACAACAAATAAAAGAGGAATGATAGTTTAATACTGTACGATTAAAATTAAAAAAAAAAGAAAGAAAAACATGAAAGCATTAGAACTAACTAACGCATAATAAGTTTAAGTTTTTTTAAAATAACGGTCAACTTTTCTAACAAATAAATGCTTTCAACAGAAAATAAAATATTTCTACAAAATACTTAAAACTTAACTAATGTACAAACATTCTCCGGGACGTTTCTATTGTGGAATTTATTTCCCGAGCCATTCGCTCACTCGACCATTGTCGAAAACCAGATTGTATTTCGGAAGCGGGACCAATCGACCCCTTTTCAATATTCCCATTTTCTCTCCGGGGCGGTACTGAAAACAAAAAAACAACACACGCTCAAATTCACACCTATATTTATAAATATGAAGCATTTACTTTGAAGTAAAAGGTACGAGGAACAGATTTTGGAGCGTTCTAGATTGATTTAGACAGTTCTAGATGACTCTGGAGTGTTCTAAATGATGACTTACATTTTTACAAGCAAATCTTTTTCTTTTTAAGCGAATGCTTTTATTTATAAATACGGGCTATTACCTGACATTGCGATATGAATTCCAGGAGCGACGTTCCCAATTTTCGGCTGGATTCCACCAAATTTTCCAGGCTGGAATTTTAGAATATAACGTTAATCATTTAAACGGAAAAAATGATAGGAAATAAACTCACCTATGTGTATCGGTTAAACCGCCGTAAACGATGCTATCACAGATTTTCGTATTGGCGTCGGCGTCGAACAAGGGAATCCCAAAATGGCAGTCTAGAATTGTCCACACCTAAACCAAAAAGAAATATCATAATTAACTTAATTAATTAGGTTTCTCGTCGAGGTCACCTCGGGGGAATTTTCATTGATTTTTTCCTCAATTTTCGGCTCGATTTTGTCGCTTTCCCTATCGAACATGTTGATATTCTCGTCGGCCGGACTAGCCAAACCGTCCAGGGAAAAGCGATTTTCCGCGATTTCCTCGGTTTTACCGCCCAATTCCAAACCCAACCGACCTGTCGCCTTATCGTTCAAAACCTGCGAAAACAAATTCACTCTTTAACAATATCATTTCACACGAAATCCCCATCCTCCTCGTTTCGTGCGATTTTAAGTTGCGTACGATCATACACAACCTGTCAAAAAAAACGACATTTAATTGTGACGTACGTCCAATAGAGGTGGGACGAGCAAAACGGTTACTTAGCAACGTAACGGAGTCGAGAGAGAGAAAAAGCGCCATCTTACCAACCGATCGAGCTCCTCCTGCAACAGATCCGAGCCCTCTTTGCTGGTGAAACCGTTCGCGGGCGACGATCCGCGACCGCTCTCCGATTCCGGCGTAACGGCGAAATGATTCTCCAACGGAGACCGCAATTTCCCGTCGCGATTCTCCGCCATTTTGTCGACGCCCTCTCGACGAAAGTCGAAATTCTCGTTCGATATCGACAGCGGATCGCTCTTGTTGTTATTACTACTCGCCTTGGGGGCGCATCGATCGTTGATACCTAGCGAATATTTAGGTTTAATTAAATGGTATTAATGGTTAGAGCGAGTCGTAGTAATCAAAAGAGTTTCTTAAATTTGACAGTTTTACATTGTTGTTATGGAGTAACTAAGGAGACTTTTTCAAATGACAGTTTTACATTGTTGTTATGGAGTAACTAAGGAGATTCTTCCAATTGACAGTTTTACATTGTTGTCATGGAGCAACTACAAGAACATTGTGTCGGTTAAAGAGACCCTTTAAGCGATCGATTTAGCGTTAAAACGAGCCATACAGTATACACAGATAAGTAACCCAAGGTTATTTAAACCACCCTGTTATAAATACCACCGAGCTTACCTAACCTAACGGGCGGCGGTACCGCCTCGTCCGCCGATCCCTCGGCCATTTTCCTGCCGAAATCCACCACGCCGATATCGGCGAACGTCAAATACCCGCAATTGTGCTCCAGATCCACCGCCTCCTTCAACCGTGCGAGGGCGCCGTGTTTGACGAAACCGGCGTCGATCTCTTCCGTCGGCCGTCGCTTGCTGTCGACGCGACGCGCACGCGCGAACGGAAACGGAACGAAGCGCGTGCGCGCCGGCCCGTGCACGCCGTACGCCTGTATCAACACCGGCGAGAATTGCAAGGTGGCGTTGACGTAGAGGACGTTAGAGACCGGTATGACGGCCGGTTCGTGCGACCACGATTGTACCAACAATCGCGAGAAACCCAGGAAAACTCTCGGCAAATGATCGATGATTGTACCTGTACACGACAGTACATTGATAATTGATTAATTAATCGAGCCAAAGACATTAGAACTAGGAGTAGAACTCATCTGTCAATCGTCAATGAAACGTTTGGTCTCTTAGTAGTTGTAATGTCTTTTGAATCGAGCAATGATTACTTCATTATACCTTTAGCTAGTAACAAAGATGGCGGTCCGTAGCCCGTTACGTGGTATATAAACAGTTTGAACCACAGGGTGTTCACCTCCGGTACGGCGGGTCCCAAATGAGGCGGTACGAAGCTCGTTACCGGTCTCACTTCTCTGCTAAGCGGCGCCATCGATACCAATAACCTACCAATAACATTACAATAAGTACAGTTTTATTTAAAAAAAAAGGGTAAGAGTAATAGAAAGAGACATTAACGTCATCCTATTTGAGTAAAACCGGCTAGAATTATTGTAGCTTAAGATGAAAGCTATGAAAGTTACTTAAATTTTATACATTTTTGACATTTCATAAGCTCCAATAATCCCAGCCGGTATTACATTTTAACGACCCGGCAACGTCGCAACGTCACCCGTCATATCAAAACGTACGAACGTCACCGCCGCCTTACTTGTATTTCTTCTGAAGCAGCCTCGAACAGGTCGGCTCGTCGAGCGATCGCAGGCTCTCCAATCGAATGAGATCCAAACCGGTGTCGGCCGGCAATTTCCTCAGCGTCATCACGGTGGATCGCAGGATGACGGCGTGGTCGAAGAACCGCCGGGCCTCGCCCTCGCCTTCGGCGTCCAACGCCGAGACCTTCTCGAGCTCGGCGAGGAAGCTGTCGAGCCCTTCGTCGGACAGCTTGCCCACTTCGAACATCGTCACGGCGTGTTTCTTCAGGCCGGGCGAGAGATTGCCCATCATCAGGTAGGCGGTGAGCGTCGAATCGAAGAGGAACGCCGCCCGTCGGCCGGACGGTATGCGAGGGGCTTCGCCCACCGGACTGTCCGGCGGCGGTTCGGGTTTCGCTTGCATGGACTGCGATCGAAGATCGCCCGATAGGTTGAAGGTGAGCGGTGTGATGTCGATGTCCGCGTTACTGGAATTGGACGCGTTATATAATTTAAATCTATCTATATTATCTATATTATCATCTATTTATCTATCAGTTCCGCGAGCGAGTTATTTACTTGGTATTTCGAGCTGGTAGGTCCGACCAGGTGGGGTGCCATTTTTTATTCGTTTCCAATGTTAATTTCCTGGCGAATTTCAATCGGCAATAGAGCGATACGGCTTGCTTCACCAACTCCACGTCCACTTGCAATACATTGGCGAGCTAAAAATTACGACGATAAATCGAAATTGAACTAACATTATCGGTGTATTTAAATTACTTCTGCGACAGTGGTGTGTTCATCGATCGAAACGAATATCTTATAGAGCAACGTCTCGAAATAATCGCCTAATATCCTGTTCATTACGAAGCCTTGTAGAGGAGGCACTTGCACCCTATCCGCTCCGGTTACCGGAACATCCAAATAAATCAACCCTTTCCTGCAACGAAACGTTACAATTCACTGCAAACGAATCGATTAAACTCACTTATATAAACTCAATACGACACCGTAAGGTAAATCGCCGGCGTTCTGCGACCCCAAATCGATCAACTTATCGATAACCGATAGCTCTTCGTTGTTAACCATCTAAAAACAGAAAACGATCAATCGTTTTAACGGAACCGTAATGGCCTCTTACTTTCACGTCCTCTTCGAGAACCAAGCCCACTTCGGCCCTCCACCAGGGTTCTACAGCCACATCGCAAGGCACCTGCGGCAACAGCGCTCTCACGTTCTTGCCCCCGAACAGCCTGCCCTTGTTCGAGCGAGACTTGTTCATTAATTCGATGTACTCGTTGCGACCGATCCCCAGCAATCTCAAACCTACGATACATTAGATTATTACGTGTACTTATATAATGGAGGAAAACACGTACAATCGGCCGCCGTGAAGTTAGGTAGGGTATCGTAGCTCTTCTCCGATCGAAGCAGCTTCTCCACAACCGATACATAGTAATTGAATGGGGTGATTCTTAAACCCTTGACGATCATGTCGGCTAAATGGTAAGGGAACAACATCAATTTCTCGCGGCTGTAGTTCACCATTCGCTCGTAGTACCGTTTTTCGTCGCCGAAGGCGCTTCGGACTGCAAGGTAAAGCGATCGTAAGAATCGTAGGAATCGGGCGAGTTTTGGTACTTACCCAAATTTCCGCGGTATCGCAGTTGGTTTTTGATGCTGAAGTTTATGATTAATCTGTCGTATTCTTTCGGCGAGTTGCCCAGCATCTGTAATAGGCGGTTTCGTTAGGGGATTGTTGCGTAAACGCGAGATAAATTTCAATCGGCTCACCTGCTTGATGTGCGTGGGCAATCGCGCAAAGGGGGTGTTTTTGCGGACATTTTCGTCGATTTCCGCGGTCATTTTATCTGGTTAAGTGGAAATTGTAAATAAATTGTATAAAAAACATGTTTTGTTTGGAGAAGTATGTTGATAAATTTTTTGACATTTGTATGACATAATTGACGTTAGTGTTTTTTAACCAATTGATCTTTAGCTGAGGTAGTTATCCAGTTAGTATCACGTATTATTTTAGTGAATCAATGATATTAAATTTGTTTTATATTTGATATAATTTACAATGGGTCATTAAATGGTAATCAAATTGTTTATTTAATTATTTCTGTTGAAAATTAATTTTATATAAAAAAGAAGAAGAAGTAAAGTACTTTGAAATGTCAATTTCAAATGTCAGTCAACAATTGACGTTTGTTTGTTATAGGTTAGTTTTATGTCAAAATTTTTGTGAAAATTAATTAATTAGTGTTATTTTTCGGAATATTGGACCAATTCAAAAAGTTTCTCATCATTTCCCTTCGTTCGTAATCACCAAAATCGTAGTGACATTGACGTAAGTAACCTATTTTCCACCAATTCCAAATGCCATCTATTCCAACTTATTTACACTAGCAGTAAGGCTGGGTTGGGTTGGATTCGGCCAGTTTTCGCTGCCTCCGTACATTCACGTGACTTTACCTACCTGTTTTACCCACCTTTTACTCTCCTCCTACCATCCTAATTTACATTTCCTACGTCAACATTCCGAATTCCAATCGCCCAATCCCAATCCCGAATCCAGTTCTAATTCAGTTCTAGCACAGTTTCGGGCCGGGACGCGCTCCACACCGCTCGAATTCGCCACACGATCGCTTTCGCCGCCGATACAGCGTAAAATTAGCGAAGAAAAACGAGCACGGACCAGTCGAAAAGCGCCGTCCGGATCCAACCAGCTCCGCAACCCAGCTAGATCTTCCCGAAATCACGGCCGATCAGTGAACCGCATTTAACCCGCCCTCTAACTATAATCGCGCGATTAACTCGTCGATTAGCACCTGCGGGTGTCGCGCCGAGTGCATTTAATTGATGGTTTCCAGTGCGTTCGTTAGTTCGAGGATTAGCTAATCGTCGACGGCCCGTTGATCAGCTGGTTGAATAAAATTCTCGTTCTCCTGGATTAATCGAAGGATGGCGGAGAGTCGGGGAAGTTTGTTGGCGAAATCCGTGCAAAAACACGCCGGGAGGGCGAAAGAGAAGGTTGGTAAACAGCTCAATTAACGATTCGTTTAGGTTTAATTGGATAGTTGAAAGTTCACTTTAACAGGTGAACGTTGTTCGTTAATCAATTGATTATAGGTAGTTGTGGAAACGGGGAGCTTTAAAGTTCTTATTTAGGCGATTGCATTGCGAAAATAACGTTCTTCTCGAACTAGCGAAAAAAATGTTAGGAAAAAAAAAGATGTGAAAAACGAAAAATCCACCCGAGACGATTCGTTTGCCAAGTTTTATCTATTTCTATTTCTATTTCGGAGTTGAAGCACTCGACTATTATTGTGTACTTATTTCACCGTGTATATATATTCACTCTCGCGAGAAATGGATTAAAAATAGATGAGACATCGACCAGAAAAATATGCAAATTATCCATCGGATTCGATGCCGATATATTGTAACAATACAGTGAGATTTTGCAATATTACGTTTGCGAATCCGACGCGTTATAATCCTATTATAATCTCGTAAAAGAGAAATGAGGTAACGCGTCGAGAACGGGGTGAAAAGAGCTGAAAATAAACCGAATGCGTTTCCTATAAAATATAAAAATACCGATCGAATATGCCTTGAGGGTATTCTCTTCTCTATTAAAACGCGCAAACGAATACCTACATGACTAATTTATTTTATCCTACTTTCTCGAATTTGTGAATTGTTAATGCTTATATGAGAATGTGTGTCAGGCATTTTCTATTTATTTTTCCACTATATACTCGCGGCGCGTAAACAGTTAGATTGAAATGGAGTTTGTGTGTACGATAAAATTATCGCGATATAAAATTTTAATACGTTTAATAATTTCCCCGGTTCGTGGGATTCTTCCCGACGCATCGGCAACGCCGCTTCGCGGAAAAAATCCCCGAATCGGGCAAAAGACCGCGATTTTCGGTTGAAAAATTTCATATTGTTCTTCTTATTAAGTCAAAATTTTTGTTTCCAGGCAGTTCGAAATCATTCTGGAACTTTCTAGATTGTTCTAGACAGTTCTAAGCGATTCTGAAGCGTTCTAAATGGTTCTGGAGCGTTCTAAATTGTTTTAGACAGCTCTAAATCATTCTTGAGCGTTCTAGATTGATCTGGGCAGTTCTAAATGATTCTGGGGCGTTTTAGATCATTCTAGACAGTTCTCAATGATTCTGGAGCGTTGTAAATGGTTCTGAAGTATTCTAAAGAGTTCTAATTAATTCTGAAGCTATGTAAATGGTTCTGAAGCATTCGAAATAGTTCTAAACAGTTCTAATTAATTCTGGAGCTTTCTAAGTGGTTCTAGACAGTTTTAAATGCTTCTGAAGCATTCTAAATCTCTCCCTGAGTGTATCGGGCCGAGAACTTTTCACCCCACCCTCGTATAACCCGAATTTTAAGTAGTATTATTATGTAAACAGCAATTACGGCTGGCATCGTAACGGACCTGAATTATTCGTAATTACCCTTTAATTATCGCGACAATCAATCGTTAAAACGAATGGGTTTGTTTAGAATTTTACGAGTATTCCTATCGACTATCAAGGTCGTTTTTATCCGCGAATGCCGTTCTGTTCCGCGCTCTTTCATTACTTTACAATTATCGAACAATAAAAATAATTGTTGTTATTTTTTTTTTTTTAATTTATTATTATCTCAAACGTAGGTATATCACGCGTTTCCGACGTGTCGCGGATATCGATAAATCATCGATTAGAAACGGAAAAATAGGGCGCGATTTTCGTGGAAATTTCGATCGGCTCGCTATTTTTCCCCAGGTTTCGGAATTCGCGCGCGACTTCGGCAACGTCGCAACGACCTTTTTTTTCCACCCTGTATATTCCCATATAATGTACGCAAGCCATACTGAATATGGCCAGAGGTGAGATGCACAGACACTCAAACAGACGAAACGGACGCGTTTCGTTATCATAGTAGGCGTGCCGTCAAGGCCGGTTCGATGAATTGGTGTAAATATTCAACGAATTTATTCCGGCTGTTCCACAACAAACTAAATAAACGAACCATCATTTTATATATACAGGTTGTTGATTGCAATATAGGTTATATATGCCATGGGTGCGATAAAGACGACTTCCAATAGACACTTACAAAAAAAAAGAAAGAGTGACATAAGTGACATTGTGTCATTACAACGTTTTACTGTGACAACTGTCATTTTAATAACATTTCTTTGTTCCACTCATAGAAATGACCATATTGCAATCGGAAATGGAGCAAGGTGTATATAATTTTAATACTTATCAAATCGCGCTTGCAGTTGCTGCAGAATTTGGGCAAAGTCGATAGAACGGCGGACGAGATCTTCGACGAGCACCTGCAGAACTTCCAACGCCAACAGAACGCCGCCAATCGCCTGCAGAAGGAGTTCAGCAATTACATTAGGTGCATAAGAGGTGAGCCAAACGAACGTCATAAGTCAAACAGTGTCAATTTTTGACATATCGAATGTAAATATGTCATATGTCAAATGAGTAAAAACTAAAAAAAAGTGCGATTTTGCAGCGTGTCAGGTGGCGTCGAAGAGCCTATTGGAGGCGGTGGGAGAGACGTACGAAAGCCAATGGACCGGTCACGATTTGCTCTACGTGCAAACGCAATCGGTGGACATGTTGTGGCAGGACTTCAGCCACAAACTGGCCGATCAGGTCCTCTTGCCGCTCAACACCTATCAGGCGCAGTTCCCCGAAATGAGGGTAAGTTAAATAAACTCCACATTCTTCTTCTTTTCGTTTTTTAAGGCCTCAGCTGCTTCGGTTATTCGGTCTAAAGTTCGTACATACTTGTGTTTCGAATACTTGGTCTCTTGCTATTCGGTTATAACGGGGCGATTCTTATTGAAGCTAAATTTCTATATTATTTCGATATTATTGTAATTTTTACATGGTGTATTTATTTTGGTAGAAAAAGATCGACAAACGCGGTCGAAAGCTGGTCGACTACGACAGCCAGCGGCACAATTTCCAGGCGTTGCAGACGAACGCGAAGAGACGGGACGAGGCGAAGCTGGCCAAGGGCAGGGAATGCCTGGAGGAGGCGAAAAGGACCTACGAGATGCTGAACAGCGAGCTGCACGACGAATTGCCGGCCCTGCACGATTCGAGGGTGTTGTTTTTGGTCACGAATTTGCAGTCGTTGTTCAACGCCGAGCACACGTTCCACGAGGAATCGGCTAAGGTTTGTTCAGAAAAAAAAAAATAATTAATTTGTAATTATACGCCCGAAGGACGTAATGAAATTGTTGCAGAAAACAACGAATGTCCTTAGTTACTCCATAACAACAATGTAAATCTGTCAATTGAAAGAATTTCCCTAGTTACTCCATAACAACCATGTAAAACTGTCATTATTATTATACCAACATTATTTTTACATATTCCATCGACTCCCGAAGTTATCCAGATAGAATCTGAATCACCCTGTATAGACATTTTATTATTATTATTATTATTATTATCTTTTATAATACCTATTAGGTATTCGGGGAATTGGAGGCGATCGTTGATAAATTGGCCACGGATAGTCAACGGGGTTCGTACAGCTTGAAAAAGACAACCAACGGTACTACTGCAGGCAGTCTTCCCAGGCCTACTACGCTTTCCAACAAAATTAAAGATCTGACAGTCGAAGACGCCATCAATTCCAACAGGAGTGAGTACCGTTTTGTTTTTATTTTTTCACTGTTCTTTTTTATTTGCACGTTTTTTGACTATTTTGACAGATTCGACAATTTTGATAGATTTGACAGTTCTGACAACACGACATGGTTGATTTTATTCGATGTTTAATAAATTGCTTTTTCTACTACTACATATTTTACAAAACTGAATGTTTAATTTCTTCGAAATCGATAAATTAGAAATCGGCACCGAACTTTTTCTATACGAGTACACACAAATGCAAGTTTATATGCAATATGGTCTATGAGTGCAACAAAGATAACTTCCGTTAGTCTTAGATAAAGGAAAAAGAAAGAATGATATTGCGAGGAATTTCAACTTTCTCACTCTAATCACTGTTATTTAAATAATAATCTTTTCTTTCTTCAACTCATAGAATTGATCATATTGCAAATCAAATTTGCATTTATCCCTTTAATAAATAATATTTCAAAAATAAATGTAAATGGGTCGCAGATATTCCACTTTACTTTATTCTACTTTATCTGCTCTACACTATTTTACTCTATTTTACTCTACCCTATTACATCTGCTCTATCCTACATTACTCTACTCTACCTATTTCACTCTACTCTACCCTATTTTACTACACTCTACCCAACTTTGCCCTACTCTATCCTATTCTTCCCTAATCTCTAATTACCAGAGCTTGTCTTGCGCCCAATTAAATTTATATACCGCATTTTCTCTCTTATCGATTTCAACAAAAAAAACAACCCTTAACAACAATTAACAACAACTAATAAACCCCGTATTTTTTTGTTCCGTGTGTGTTTCGCAGCCGACGATCCCGCCTCGCTCCCGCCCCCCGCCAAAACCCCCGAATCCTCGGCGCCCTCGACGCCCTCCAAAACGACGCCCGACAGCCCGCCCAAATCGCCCGCCAACGGGACGGCGGCGACGCCGCCCCGCTCCCCCTCGCCCTCCTCACCCGTCCCCCCCAACGCCGCCGCCGCCTCGCGCCCCGCCTCCGCCGCCGCCGCTGACGTCGCCGCCGCCCCCGGTACTAACAACGCTAAAATGGTCCAGGAGCTCTACGATATACCGGTCGGTGAGTACACTTTGCTCTGGTTACTAGATTTTTGGTGGAAATTCCAAGTTTAGTGTAATTTATTTACATTGAAGAGTACGCAACATCTTCTGCGCACGTACGTAATCTAGTGGGTTTGTAACGCGGCGTTGCCGAGTGTTTATTGTTTTATTTAATTTAAGGGAAAGTTAAATAGTGATTTTTTTCGTTCGATTGAAAGTAATTGAAAATTGAATTGATTACTCCTAATTACAATATACTAATTAATAACGAATAAATATAACGAATTAAATATTATAGTTCAATAAATGAAAGTTTCTTTATGTTATGCAATTATTAGTTATTTATAAAGTATAATATTTAGCAACGTGAATGCAATTAAAAAAAATGCATATCATAATCACCTTCCCCCGTATTCATTTTACCCTGAATTATTGTATTTTTTATTTTGCAGGCGCCAGTACTGACAATCTACCGCCCGGTGTACTATATAGGGTGAAGGCCACCTACAAGTACAACAGGGAGGACGTGGACGAATTGTCGTTCGAAGTAGGCGAGGTGATTGCTGTGGTCGAATACGATGATCCCGAAGAACAGGTTAGTGGCCTCTTGCTATTCGGTTATTAGTAAAAAAAAGTTAGTTGCGCATATAAGTGGCCTCTTTCTATTCGATTATTAGTAAAAAAAGTTGCTGCGCATATAAGTGGCCTTTTTCTATTCGGTTTAAAAAAATTGAACAAACAAATTGATTCCTTTTAGTTTGCAATTGGATTTGATAAAGACAACTCTAAGTCAACTTATATGAAGGAAAAACATAGAGTGATATTGTGTCATTGCAGCTTTCTCACTCTAACAACTGTCATTTTAATAATCTTTCTTTGTTTAACTCATAGAAATGAGCATATTGCAAACTGAAATGCATTATAGGTTATAAGTGGCCTCTTTCTATTCGGTTATTACTACATAGAAGTTATTGCGCATATAAATGGCCTCTTAATATTCGGTTATTGTTGAAAAAAAAAGTTATTGCGCATATAAATGGCCTCTTGCTATTCGGTTATCAGTAAAATTTTGTTTCTTGTTCTGTAGGAAGAAGGCTGGCTGATGGGCGTGAAGGACAACGGCGAAAAGGGCATGTTTCCCGCGAATTTCACGCGGCCTTTGTAATGGGAAATTCGAAGGGAAAGGGAAAATCGAAAATCGAAAATCGTAAATTTATTACCTGGACGTATAACTAACAATAAAAGGCAGGTGTAGGTGCGAAACGGCCGAGACGGTTTTTTCCTCTGGGCCCTTTCCGATCGAAGCTAAATAAAATTAATATTTTAATTAATATATTTTAATGATTGCGTAGCTGATTGAAATTTTCGTAATGAATAATTAAGATTTTCGATTTTGTTGTTACTTATACGTAAATACGTAAGACGGTGTGTGTGTGTCATTTTTTTTTTTGTAATATTGTAGTATTTTATACATACACCCTGTATATTGATATTGATAAATGAACGAACAAGTGCCTTACTTTATTGATATATTTATTATATATATTTATATATTTCATATTTCAAATTTTTATAGATAATAAGGTTGTTTTTTTTGTAACTCGAATATTTTTTTGTTTTATTAATTATTATTATTATTATTATTTCTATTTCTTGTAGTTGGGTATACTTGGTTTTTGTTTTTGGAAAACGTAGATTTTTTTCTAATTAGTGTGAATTTTCTACTTTTCCAAAATTGTAATGCGTTTTTTGGAATCTTCCTTTTTTTCGATACATCGAATATTATTTGTTCATTAATTATATTTTATTAATTATTTGTTATTAGCGAATTTCTGTAAGTGACAATTGACATTTCTTTAATCCGGATGTATGTATCCAGGTGTCTATTATCACGTATATGCCAATTCGCTATACAGGGTGGTCCAATAAATACGAAAAATCCTTCGCTTTTAGAGCTAACATGAATGCTTCCAATATGTATTTTACATATCTGTATTTTTTATATACAGTTATACAGTGTGTTTCTTTTAAAATATTTATTAAAGAACACTGTGTTTTACCATTAATGACTTTTATATTTATGAAAAATGATGTATTAGATCACCCTGTATATTTATATACAGAGTTCTTCCATTTACGTTTTCACTTTATAGTAATTTCGAATATACTCTAAATAAGGATTGTTATTAATATTAATTAAACCTTTATTATTATTATTATTAATTATTTTGAGAATTTTTGTCCGATAGGTTTTTAGATTTTTAACTTATTTTTATTCCTTTTAATTACCGTTGTAATATTTTTATTAACTTATTTCGATGTGGAGTGTATACGTTTTTGATTTTACTTCGAAGATTAAATTACGAAAAACAAACAAAAAAAAATGTTTTAAAAAAACTTTTCATTTTCTGCCACTGGAAATCGAATTTTTTTTAATCTCCCACAGGAGGCGTGCAATTGACCCGAATTTTAACCAATAAATAATATATTATAGTGTGAAAATTCCGCTATTTGTCAATTGACTACAATTTGTTGTTTTTGTGACTATTTAGTTTTTTCTGGAGCGTTCTAAATGGTTCTAGATAGATCGCATCGTAAAATTCCCCTAGTCAAATGACAAAATCAACATATTGACACTAGGGACATTTTGAACTGCTCGGAAACAACCACAAAATGGCGTCGTCGCCTATTTAAAACGCGGATAAGCTTTAATTAAATAAATTTACAACTACACATTGCACGGTAATTGCTCGTAATTCAGGCACATCCCCAAATTATCCTCGGGCGATACATCTCTGACATTCTCCCCGAAATGCACTCCGATAACGAACGGCGTGACGGTACTCTCGATCCTGCAAGGACCCTCCTCGCCCGCGCACAAACTCCCCCCGCAGTGCGTCGTCTCGCAATGCGCCAGGATCCCCTCCTGCAGCTCGTCGTCCTGCAAAACGTACAAAAAAACAGTCCTTTCGCAGTCCTCGCGAGACTTCCTTACCGTCAACAGGAGGTCCTCGGAGTCGCAGGGTACTGTGATCCTGTCGTTGCAATCGTCTGATTGTCTGGGCTCGCCGTCCCCGGAGCCGGTTTCCTCGTCGGTGGTACCGTCTCGATTGGGGTGGATCCTGAAGGAGTCCTCGTGGCAGGGCTCGTAGGCGATCGAACAAGCTCCTTCGTCCTGGCGTACGCAAATGTTGTAGTCCTGGTTGGCCAAGTGGCGCCCGTTCTCGGCGAAGTTCATCGTTTTTATAGTACCGCTGGTACCTAAATTGCACATATAATGTGTTGTTTATAAAATGCGACATAGGGATTAGTGTAGAAAAGTGTCAAAAGTAAGGAAATTTTTTTAGCAAATAACGTGCGTAAAAATAATGGTAGATTTGAAAAGATCGTAGAAAAATGAGTCGAAATGGACATTAAATTTTCTTAAATTCGTTCTGGTTTAATTAAAAAAAAGTACAATTGAGTTCAAAAATGTCAAACGTCATAAATATGTCATTTTTATATAAAAAATCTGCGGAGTTAACAGCGACGGTTGACGCTCTGCGATTTAAAAAATTAAAGGGGAAGGAATCTGGTTCAATCCCACCGCAGTGCAAAAATTTTTTCTTGTATTTTTCGACTTTTTTTAATGTTTTTTTAAAAATAAAAATAAATTTATAACCCAAATGGGCTTGGCTTATTTTAAATATTTCTATTTAACATTTTTTTAGACTAAAACATTAGAAAAAAAAAGAAAATAATTTTCTGCACTGCGAGGATTGAACCAGAAATTGAATCATTCCCGTTTAATTTTAGTGATAGTTTTTAAGTTTAGTGATGATATTAAAAGAACTTATTTATGACATATGACGTTTTTCAACTTAATTATACATTTTTTAATTAAACCAGAACAAATTTAAGAAAAATTAATGTCCATTTTGACTTATTTTTTGACGATCTTTTCAAATCTGTCATCTGTCATTATTTTTATGAACGTTATTTGGCTAAAAAATAGCTCGCTTTTGACTATAAAGTACCTTCGAAGTACTGCAAGCAACCAGTAGGAGCTCTTTGCGAGAACGGTATTTGAGTGATCCTCACCTCCCATAACCTGGTGACCGCTCTCCTGCTCATATTCATCGAAATTTTTATGGTACCATCAGCCGTACCCACATCGAAGTACGCTATAATTCCAACACGATTAATTAGGTACTTTAACTCAGCGAAAACGTACCGTGTTGCCCGCTGTTCAAGCCGCACAGAACCAAATTTTTCTGGACGTCATCGCCTCGAGTCACCAGGAAAACGTCTTCCTCGCAGACGCCCGTCCTCCTGTTGGGCTGTCCCTGGAATAAAACGGGTTTTCTCGAGCCGGTACTCGCCGAATGTGGTACTCACCAGGTTGAAATGCACGAAATCGAAGCGCAACTGGACGACGTCTTCGTCGGCGATGCGGATCGTCGACGAGCAAAAGGTCATTCCCGAGGTTAAATCGGGGAAATCCGGGTTGACGAAGTAGGTGGAATTGTTCGAGATTTCGTCGTTACAAGTGGCCGTGACTGAGCGATATTATAGTACTCAATTAATGGTAATTTGGTACTTTATTAGGGTACTTACAGACGCAACAAACTCCGAATCCATGGGCGCAGAATCCGTACGATTTCCCACCCTCCATCCTGCACTCGTACGTATTCATACAAATCCCTAATAAAAAATTAAAATGTAGTACCTCTTATATTATACTTCAACCAGTACTACCTTTTCTTCTACCGTCATTAGCGTTACACTCCTCGGGTATCGGCACGGGAAAAAAATTCAACACTAAAAATAACACCAAGTACTACCTACACTATTTATACAATCTAAACGAGTACCTCTGGGTAACCTTTCGATATTATTCCTAACATCCCATATATCCTTGCAGATGACGGTACCGCCGGCGAGGTACCACCACAGCACCACGATCAAATTCCTCGCTTTCCCCATATCTCACCCGATTCGCGCCGATCCGCTTGATCGCGATCGACTGCAAGAAGTACCAGCAACGTCGAAACGGGGTCGAGCGAGTACCGGTCGTTTTTATCACCTCGGAAAATCGAGTTATCTTATACAAAACTGGTACGATTCATAAACGACATTTGCTCCTTTTTTTCAAACCTGTTGTATTACTCGAATGGTACCGTTACAAGTAACAATATTTATATGTCATTCACGGCCTACTCGCGTCGGACGAGTACTTCGGCTAAATAATGGGATAGGACGCCAGCAGGGCGATGCCGCAGTAGTCCTTGTTTCGGGCCAATTTGAAGTACCCCTCGTCGCCCCAATCGGTGCCCCAGGAGTTCTTGATGATCCAATAGTCCGTCGGATCGCGATCGTATCCGACTATCAGTACCGCATGGTTCAAGGTGCTGTAAGTACTCACGCAGCGCGCATCGTCGAAAATTCCACCGGCGTAGAATTGGATCAGTTCCGCGTAGATTCCTGCAGACGTCGGCCCGATGGTACCTGCGAATTGAACGATTTATTTGTTGGCATGTGGTGGTACTTTAAAGATGATTGAGGGGTTGCTAAGGGTGATGGTAGAAGGTGTTGAGGAAATGGCGGATCTATAAGAGGACCAAAAGATGTTCAAAAGGGACTAAAGAGTAGGTACTTCTTTGGTGTAGAGAGTTCTTTTCCTTGATTGGATTCTTTAGAAGGAGGATGCTGCAACAAGAGCATTAAATTCTAGAGCTAAATGGTTCTTGAGCTGGAGGAATCTAGAAAGTGGATTCTGGTGAAGAGATTTCTGGTTTTCGATTGGATTCTTTAGAAGGAGGATGCTATAACAAGAGGATTCTGGAGCTAGATGCTTCATGAGCTGGAGGAATCTAGAAAGTGGATTCTAGTGTAGAGAATTCTTGTTTTCGATAGGATTCTTTAGAAAGAGGATGCTGCAACAAGAGAATTCTAGAGCTAGATGGTTCTTGAGCTGGAGGAATCTAGGAAGTGGATTCCGAGTCCACAGGATTCTTGTCCAAGGGCATCTCTCTCACCGACTACATTCCTCAAGGCGGCCTCGTCCCTTTCCACGGACCTGTAGCCTCGTACGCGGACCGTCGGCAGCGACCCCCCGCCCATGCAGACGCCGCGACGCCCTTGGTACGGGTAGTACCGCTCCTCCCTGACGCCGTGCTCGCGCGCGTACTCGAACGCCGCCTCCATGCTGCCGCCCTCGTCGCAATCCCCGTTACCGTACCCGCCCGAGCAGTCCAGCAGCTCTTGCTCGCTCAACGACACCAGTCTTCCGTTGCGGATGGCGTGTTGACCTTCGATAGCGCCGATCTGGAAATCGAAGAGGGGAATTCGATGGGTGATTGGTGCGTGAAATGGTTTGGTCTAGGTGTTGTCCAGGTCTGGTCTTAGATCTGCTCTAGATCTACGGTGTAGATGTGGTCTAAATCTGGTGTAGATCTGGTCTAGGTGTAGTCTCTAGGTCTGTTGTAGGTCTGTTTTATATCTGGTGTAGGTCTGTTGTAGATCTGGCATGGGTCTGGTGTAGTCTAAACTTGACCTGAACAATACTATAGTCCAATTCCATACAGTTTTTCTTCTGAATAACAGTGTTTAAGTGAAATCTAGTCGGTTTCTAACAAATTTTTAAATCTTTTGGAGGACCTGGTGTGGAGGTTTTAGATTGGCTTACAGCGCTGAACGCCCAACAGGACCCGCAGGCCTCCTGGTCCTTGACGTCGGTGACGGCGCCCAGCCGACGCCAGTCGACGCTCTCCGAAGCGTTGACGTTGGGCCGGTCGAGGAGAGGCGTCGGATCGAAGCCGGCGTAGACGTCGGCGTCCGGTTGATTGGGGTTCTGCTTGCGCAGCATGTGGGCGAACTCCTTGGGCGTGATGTCGGCGAATTTGTTGACGGTCATCCAGTAGCCGGAGAGGCCCTGCTTGTAGATGGCGTTGTGGCGCGTTATGAGCCTCAGGTTGTCGCCGAAGGCCTGGAAGCGGGCGCGTTCTTCGCTTTGATTCCTGTAGGTTTTGCCGAATTTTTGCTGCAAAAGAAATGTGGTACATATTAGGCCTGGACATAGACCAGGCAGACCTAGATCTAGACCTGAACCAAGAATTAGAGCAAGCCAAAACCAGATCTAGACCTAGACTTAAATCAAGACCAAGACCAGATTTAGACCTAGAGCAGACCTCAACCTACACTTAGAATTATGTCTGATCTATAATTCGACCTAGACCTAGGCATAGACTTGACCAAAACCTAGACCATACATTGACCTAGACTTAGACCAAGGCTAGACATAGACCTAGAGCAGACCTAAACCTGGACTTAGAATTACACCTGGACCTCTAATTAGACCTACACCTAGATCTAGACTAGACCTAGACCAAATTGTATTTTGATAAATTTGTGAAAACAGAGGTTATTGTACAATAAAAATACCTTGAATTGTAGCCATCGTTTCAATGAAGAATTTGCCGAATAAGATTGATCAAACAACACGTTTAATATCAATAAAGAGACTATTAATCTCATTGTCGTATTAAATATTTCTTTTTATTGTAATATTTTAACATCCGTCGACCGATTATTATCGAATTATATTAATTACCAGTCTATAATAAGTAAAAATCGATACTGGAAAAAATATTCGATGTGATTCGAGCTCTCAATAATGCCGCATTTTTTCAGTCGGTTTCATTTACACGTTTTCGAATTAGTACCAAGCGATTCCGAACGATTCATCATCACGCGCTATACTAACAGTCATAATATTGTATTATTTTTTCGAAAATATTTTCATCGGTACCGTCGCCTGCTCGATTTTCTTCTAAATAACGAATTGTGCAAGTCGAATTTTGTCGTGTTGATGATGATTGAAAATATTTTAAAGTTTACACGTTTTAAAATGGTTCTAAACAATGTTAAATGCATCTGGAGAAAGGTTCCATAAGAAAAAATATAACTTTGATATACCACGCTTTTTTGGGACATCCTGTATGGTTGAAGATATTTTAAAAATGTAGCCCTTGCAGCCTTGCATATGCTTGCTTCAACAGAAATTACCCTGTAAAGAAAACACCCTGTAGAGAAAAGTGTGGGTTTGGCATATATTCTAATATTCTATACGTAAAATATAAAACGTCCTGTATAATATAGTCAAAATATTCTACCTAACTGAATGCGTTCATAAGTAAAGACCGATACACAAAAAAACCTACTTGTCAACGATTTTTATGAAGTAGCACGTGGCGCCATCTTTTAGAAGTCTATCGAAGTTTTATAAATATTTAAAACAAGTTTCCGGACATTGTTATTAATTAAAACGATTAGAAATCCAATTAAAATGCAATTTTGTAAGTATTCAAGCAGCTTTTATTAAGTTTATTTGCTTAATTACGGTGTTTTGTTAAAGTATAGTGCATCGTTGTGCCGATAGATGTCGCTAGTAAGACGGAATTTGATTTCGAGACGTCGCGACGTTTTTGACGTATCCAGTGTGTGCCAAAAGGCCGTTCGAGCGAAACCGACGCTCCGGAAAAAAGCAACAATTACCGTCGGTACGGTCGGGCGAGATAAAAAAAAAATCGGTTTCGTTCGGTCGTTAGGGGCGCGAATCGCCCGAAATCGCCCGATTTTCCTTCGCAAAACTGCCAATTTCGTTGGTGTTTATCGTGTTCAAAAACCACTCGATTTTCTCGCGTTATATTTCGTCGGTTTCGGTTTTTTTGTGTGTGTGGTTGATTAAATATCGTGCGAAAATGCCCGTGAGGAAACAGGGTGAGTACGGTTAGGGGTTGATAATGGCCAGTTTTTTTTTATTTTCGGGGGTTGAATGCACGAATTTGTACGCATTCCACCGTCAATACGGAAGGAACCACGTGTTGTTGCGCAGTGGGGGTAAATGGGGGTTGTGTCGACTGTCGTGTTCCGATTCCTTCCCTTATATTTATAAGGGTGGGTTTGTTTATGTAATAGTTTTTCGACCGCTTTCCTTTGCCAACTATTTTTGTTTATTCGAAAGTTTATATAGCAGTTTCGAATGATAATTTTATCGAGAGTGACAGGTACGTTGACAGGTGTCAACGTCAACAATGAAAAAAAATTAGTAATATGGAAATTTTTAAATATTTTTTATAGTTCGTGTGTTTTATAAAGGGTGTTCATAAAATAGACGAATTATATTTTAGAGGGTGATTCCTTGTTATAAAATATTTAAAAAAACTTTCTATAAACTCCTATTTTTTATATCTCTCAAACCACTAATACTATCTACAAACTTCAAATTACGTCATATTTTGTTAAAGTTAAAACCTCTTTAATATTCAATAAACAATTAAAATATCTTCTAAACAAGTTTCTCGAGATTTTATTAACGCTTAAAATTAATGCAGAAACTTGAAAGAACTTTACATAAATATATCGGCTAGTGCTAGTACATACACACTATGTATAGTTTCATTATGTATCCGATAATAAACAACCGGCCCGAAGGTTGTTCAAAATGGCTTGGACATCGGCCAAAATATTCCCTATACTAGGTCACTGTGTTACTCTAGCAAAACTCTAGTAAAAGCCAATAAAAGATTGGGGAATCATATCGCAGATAATCTGGAGGAAATACCCGAGCAAACGAGGATTATTTATGAAGAAATTACTGATAGTATGCGAGCCTATTATACAGGGTGTTCGCAAAATGAGTTAAAAACGTACCAAAAATGGCATAAAAATATTTCGATTATTGGAAAATGCATCTGATTATGTGCATCCTTTCAAAAGGAGCATATTTTGAAGGAGATTCGAGCAAAAATAAAAAAAAGCAGAAGAATTTTGCTTTTTTTTTCAATTTTCCCATTGTAAAGTATTATTTTTTTAATGGGACATACTGTATATTTTTGGAACCTACTCAACGAGTCGATTTCAACGAGGGGTCACACTTACCGTTTATAATCAAAATTAGTTTCGATCATTAAGTCAAAATCCTTAGTTCTAGACAGTTCTAATTGATTCTGGGCCGTTCTAAACAGTTTTAATTGATTCTGGAGCAGTTCTAAATGATTCATGCCGAGTACTTTTCACCCTACCTTTCTAAACTTTTTAACACATTATATTTACTAAAAAAACTACAAATTCTACTGTTTCTACATCCGTATTTTTATATTACTCATTTGTCACGATTAATTACGCTTCACCCTGTATATTGAACGTCTCCCGGCGGTTGTTCCACCGTCGGGGACACGTCGGGGCGAATTTCTGATAACAAACAAAACCCTTAACCGGAACGAAAACCGGGACAACGGGACGGCGAGTTCGAAATCCCATTCGCACTATTCGGTTCCTGTCACAACCAGTTCTCTGCAACACGTATGTGAGTAAAATAAAAACGAAAAAAAAAGAAGAAGAAAAAGAGGCCGAAATGTGAAATCGAATTTTCAAACTGAACGATTATTGCTATCGAGTTTTATTCACTGAGCGTTCCAAACGGTTCTGGAGCGTTCTAACGGGTTCTAGACAGTTCTAAATGATTCTGGAGCATTCTAAATGATTATAGAGCATTCTAAATGGTTTTGAAGCGTTCTAAATGGTTTTAGACAGTTCTGAATCATTCTGGAGCGTTCCGTAAACAGTTCTTCACAGTTATAATCGATTCTGGAGTTTTCTAAATGACTATGGTGGGTTCTAAATGGTTTTAGACAGTTCTAATTGGTTCTAAAGCGTTGTAAATAATTCTAGAGCGTTATAGACAGTTCTACATGATTCAGACCTAGAACTTTTCACCCTACCCTCGTAAAGGGTGTCGCTTATAAAAGAAGCATTTCTCATTATATTTTTGAGACGCCCTGTATAAGCTCGCAACTGTCAATAACGTTTTTTTACCGTTTTACCAAGTATTATGTAAAACATCGAATAATTCCTGACGAACAGCTCGAACAGTTTCGAATACCCCATAATAAATGATCCCCGTCGCTGAAGATGTAAAGCAATAGCGACCGAAACGTGTATATCCCCTTTTGATCTCCATCTGTCCAGTTTCTCGACGGGTGTTTAGTTAGGCTTGTTTATATGGAGGCTTTGCGACATTGCACGCTCAACGCCCCTATTATCTCTAATCTAGGGGTGTTTTTGCATTAAGAAAATGTCTTCGGGGACGTTCCGTACTGTTCTAAATTTGTTCTAAATTCGTTCGAAATTTAACTGCTTTTTGAGAGTTTTTTTTTATTGGGTTGAAAAATCCGTTTGACAGTGATAGTTTTGATAGTGAAAGTTTGATTATGACTGTTTAATTATGACAGGTTGTACAATACAGTTTGATTCTGACAGTTAGACAGTGACAGTTAGTCAGTGACAGTTTGTCAGTGACAGTTTGTCAGTGGCAGTTTGTCAGTGGCAGTTTGATAGTGATAATTTGACTGTGACAATTTGACTGTGACAGTTTGCTAGTGACAATTTGATAGTAACAGTTTGATAGAGACAATTTGATAGTGACAGTTTGACTTCGGCAGTCATTGTTTGACACTCGTAGTTTGACAGTCATATTAATTGTCATTCACAGTCACAGTTTGACAGTCTTAGTTTCACAGTCCTAGTTTAACAGGCATATTTTGACATCTCCTGTCAGTTTGACTGTCACAATAATTTCAAGGCAGCATAAACATTCGGCGAATAGAACGCGGGAAATTCAAAATTCCGAATCGTTCGGGTAGATCGGTCCCGAGTCCGGCGCTGCGCCCGGCGGGAGTTTCGCGACATGTCCCGAAGCCGCCCGAATCGATGTAACTTCAACTCCGGCAGTAACTCCGCTCTCCGACTCTCCAGCATCCGCGCTGCAGTCTGCAGTTGACTCCAGGCGCGCGATCGGGGTAGTTCGGGGTGATTTTTCGGGGGGGCGATCCGGGTAAATAAGCGGGCGCTCGGGAGTTTCGCCGCATCGGATTGGGACCGGTCGGGCGGCCTTTTACTCGGAATGTATCACGCCTACGATTACTTCAGGTGCAGCCCGGTGCAGGTGCATTGTAGGAAGTACCGAGTGACAGGTTAGACGGGTTGATTTCGATGTTAATTGTATTATTATTCGATCGACTGCGCCCGTTTGATTGGTATATTTATTTCATTTGGATGCGTTTGTGGGTTCGAAGTTTTTTTTTTTTAAATGGAGTTGATTGGAAATGCGAGAAATCTAATAAAGCGAGCCCGGCGTGTAGGAGAATTCAAATAGGAGTAATTTCCACTATATTTTCCATCGCTTTATATTCATATTTCCCGGTTTTGTATTCGAAGTTTCGTGGAAATACCGGTGGATTTTTCGCGGATATTTATCACGCTTTTTTTTGTATTTATTTTATTAACTCTGTGTGAACTTTCGAAAGTCAATTTGTAATAATTTATATGTTACTGCAAAATGTAAAAAATCGACTAGTTTATTTTCTAAAATGTCGAAAAATCTTTTAAAATCATTTGGACAATTTTCAATAATCGTCCAAGAATTTTCTAAATGTTTATACAAAAAACTGTCTAGAACGCTCCAGAATCATTTA